AATTGTGAAAAGAGAGAACAAGGATCATCATAACCCATATCTTATATTTTCTTATTTAGTATTTTGTGTTTAGTTCCCTATTAAAAATTTTCTCATAGAAGTCAGGCCCAGAATTCCTTGTCAAAGTATGTAGTATTTTTAATGGTTCTTTATATATGTATGTGTATTTGGGTATATGTACTTATATGTTGCCAAATTGCTTTTCAAAAGGACCAAATTTGAAAAATGCAAGATTTGAAGAACAGTGTAATCAGTCTGTGATTATTTGTGTAAAAAAAAGAGAAATAGATAAGAATATTCACACATTATTTGTCTTTTTTTTTAAAAGACTTATTTATTTACTTATTTATACAAGCGCTGGGTACAGTCAACCGCTGCGCCACTGGGGAGGCCCTTATTTGTCTATTTTATTGTGTGTCTATAGATATAGGTAAAACAGACTCATACATTGAAGAATGAGAAAGAGAAGATGCAACTTGCAGAAATTGATAGAATCCACTTATAAATTATATATAAGTTAAATATACATAAATAAAATTTGTTTGTTATATGTAACATCTCTGGAAGCGTATGCAAAAAATTGATTGCCTTTGGAGTGGGGAAGGGAATTAAGTGACTGGGAGACAGAGGTGGGAGGAAGACTTCTCTGTGTATCCTTTCGTAGCTTCTGAATTTTGAATGGTATGACTATAACACTATTAAAATAATAAACAGTAATAGAAAGCCATTAACAGTTGGTAAAAACTATCATTTTCTTTCTGTCCCTTTTCTACTGCCTGGATTCAGACCTCAACCTCTCTAGATCTTTGTAGCAGCCACTGCTTGGTCTTCCTGCCCCCAGTTTTTCTCTTTTCCCATCCATATTTCACCTTGTCACCAGGGAGAGCACAGATCAAATGGTATCTTTCTCCTTTGCTGAAATTTTTAATGGTATTCCACGGCCCACAGTTTAGCATTCAGAGTCTTCCACCATCTGGTCTCAAACTGTCTTTTCAGCTTCACCTTCTACACATCTTTGTATAACTTCTTTTTTTTTTTTTTTTTTTTAGAGGCATGTTTTATTTATTTATTTGTTTGTTTGTTTGTTTATACATGCACTGGGTACAGTCAGAAGCGCGGGAGGGTGAGAGAATTCACCAGAGCCAGAGCAGGGAGCAGAGCAGGCAGAAGGACCGAAGTACACTGCTGAGGGGAGCAGCGGGCGGCAGGAGAGGTCTGCGCGCCATGTGGGACCCTCCTCCAGTGGCCGGGGAGCAGCCGGGGATCGAACTGGTACGGCAGAGGCCGCAGGCAGCTTTGCAACCCAGCGCTCAACCGCTGCGCCACCGGGGAAGCCCCTGTATAACTTCTTTATTACCATTTCTCTCTTAAGTTAACTCCACCCACCAAAAAAGAATAAAAAATGTGTTTCCTTATTTCTGTATTTGTTCACATTATCCTTTTTTTAAATCTGAAAAACGTTTTCTCTCCATTTGAAGTTGAAATTGAAATTTACTTCCAAGATCTATTGTGAATATAATTTTCTTCATCTTACCCCCATTCCATCTTATCCCACCTTTTTTTAGAATGAATCACTCGTTTTTTGATTTTCATACTACATTTTGCATGCCATTGTTTGGTATTCATATTCTAGTCAGTCTCTTTTAAATTTTATTTTTATACTTCCCTGTGTTGATCCCTCTTTCCAATTGTAGTAGACTTCAGGGAGACTGGAAGCTTCCTTTGTGCCTTTCTCATTTTTAACTCTGGTGGTTTTGTGATTTTGGTAAAACATGTCAGACATTGAAGAACAAGGAAGAGAAGAAACAATTGGCAGGTAGAATCCACTCACTTTTAAATTTAATACCATACAGTTTATTCTTTTCTTAACCCTGTGTTTGCATATCCATTTTTTTAAACATTAAAGATTATTTAGTCTTTATTTTGTCAATATATGAAATATCTAGAGGCCTGGGACAAGAATGGAGTTCTCTAAGGATTCACAGTCCACATTGAGTTACTTTTTATTGTAGGTGCATAGAGTACTTACTGTGATAGTCTCTGTGGTGTTTCTCAGAATACAACAAAGGAAACATTTTTAATTTAATTCTTTCCTTGTTGAGACAGCTGGTAGGTTGGTATAGTAGTCACATTTACAAAGGAAAACATTAAAATATTTAACCAAAAAGCAAACCAGTGGTCCTTTGCTCAGATCCATATTGTCTTTGTCTTGTTTGTCAGAAGCAACCACTTACAACTTTTAGCTAATATTTTGGTTATTTACCTCCAGAATTCTGTACTGTTGTTTCTAGACATTATTGACTTTCTTCTAAGGTAGCTGATGAAGCCTTAGTTTCCTTATACTGTACTTGTTCCCCCTTTCTCCTCTTTCCATTCTTCTCACTTTATTTATAATTGTTATTAAATTAATACATTATAATTATATGTTTATTTTGAGCCAGGTTGTGTATATTATGATAGTGTTTACTGTTTTTGTGTAACAAAAGTGCTTTTTCAAAATTTACTTTTTATAGTTAAAAATTACCTATCTTGGGCCTCCCCAGTGGTGCAGCGGTTGAGCGCTGGGTTGCGAAGCTGCCTGCGGCCTCTGCGGCGCCGGTTCGATCCCCGGCTGCTCCCCGGCCACTGGAGGAGGGTCCCACATGGCGCGCAGCCCTCTCCTGCCGCCCGCTGCTCCCCTCAGCAGTGTACTTCGGTCCTTCTGCCTGCTCTGCTCCCTGCTCTGGCTCTGGTGAATTCTCTCACCCTCCCGCGCTTCTGACTGTACCCAGTGCATGTATAAACAAAACAAAACAAACAAATAAATAAATAAATAAAACATGCCTCTATTTAAAAAAAAAAAAATTTACCTATCTTTTCATTTGCTTATTTGTATATCCATTACCAGTTCATTAATTTAGCAAACATTTGCTAAGTATATACTTTGTGCCAGGTATTATTTTTGGTGCTTTAAATACATCAGTAAACAATACAAAGATTTTTTTCCTTGTGACACAATCTAGCTGGGAGGTAGACAATAAATATTTCAATCAGTAAAATATATATTAGAATGTGATAGGTCCCATGGGGAGAAGAGGAGAATAAAAGCATTGGGAATACATATACAGACATGAGTTGTAATTCCAAATACGGTAAAAGGGTGTAGGTCTCATTGAGAAGGTGACATATGAGCCAAGTTTTAAACTCCTCCCAGTGTTACTTTCCATATAAGCCAAATGCCTTGCATAACCCGACATTCTATTTCCCCAATGGTTTTCCTTCCTGGAGTCCTCTGTCTGCCCAGCCCCGACTAGCTACCCAAGAGGCCTGCAACACAATTATCTCGGGAGTTCCCTTGGCTGCTTTCCTGGGCTGGAGCCTCTGTTTCCTAGATCCTGTATCTTCCTATTGGTTCATGCTCTCTTTTTCATGGAGTAAATTCTTCTCTAGCTTTCTGAGAAAGGGTACAAATAGAAAAAAGTGTTGAGAACATGTATATCTCAAAGTTCTTTAACCTACCCTGACAATTTTTTGAAAGTCTGATTCATTTTTTTAAAAAAGATTTATTTATTTAAATAAATAAATATGTATGCATACAAGAACTGGGGTACAGGCCAGAGGTGTGGGGGGTGAGAGGATTCACCAGAGACAGAGTGGGGAACAGAACAGGAGGAATGACTGAAATACACTGCTGAGGGGAGCAGAGGGCAAGATAGGAGAGTCCTGCTGCACCATGTGGGTTGCTCCCTGGGATCAAACTCGTGCTACAGAGACTGCGATTGCTTCGTAGTGCGGTGCTTAACTCCTTACGCCACCAGGGAGGCCCCAGTTTGATTCAATTTAGAGGTCTAGTTTGGAAATCATTTCTCTCAAAATTTTCAAGAACTTCCTTTCAAGCTTCCAGTGTTTCTGTTGAGGAGCATGATGCCCGAGATTCAAAATTATTTATAGGTGACCTGCTTTTCTTTATTTTAATATTTTGTAATTTTATGATAATGGGCCAGGTCCTGTTGTGGATTTTGTTTTGCTTGTTTTAATATATTGTGCTAGGCACAAGTCACCCATGTGTTCTTCAATTTTGGGAAATTTTCTCATGTTGCTATTTGATGATTGAAGTTGCTAAATTGCATCCCAAAGAGGAGCACTTTGGTTGTTTATGTTTGGTCATGCCATAATATGTAAACCCTTTAATAATAAGGCATTTACTTGTTAGGCAGGTATTACTTTGCTTTTAAAAATTGTTGACATAAGTGGTAGAATATTTTTGGTGTTTTTTTTCTAGCTACTAGAACTTGGAATCAATACCTATTTTAGAAGGTCTTGTTTCTTATGCTCTTCTCATTCATTACACTCTTATGGTTTGGCTGGCCCTGTGTTTCCCCCCTATTCCTATGGGCAGTATGCCTCTGAGAGGCAGAATATTTTCTCACTTTCAAGTCTTGGTTACCTTAGCTGCCCTTTCACTTTTCTTTACCTTTTCTTAGTGTATATACATGCACACACACTTCTCATATATATTTAATTGAGATAAAATTCACCCATCTAAACCATTTTCAAGTATGCATTTCAGTGTTTTCAGTGTTCAGTTACCATCACCACCACTTCTGGACCATGTTCATTATCCCCAAAGAGAAAAATCCCATCTACCTTACAGTAATTACTCTCCATCCTCCCCCTTCCTCCCAGCTCCTGCCAACTACTCTTCTACTTTCTGTCACTATAGATTTGCCCATTATGGACATTTCACCTAAGTGGAATCATACAATATGTAGCCATTTGTGTCTGGCTTCTTTAGCTTATAATGTTTTTAAGGTTCATACATGTGATAGCATACTTTACCAGTGTTCTCAAATCAGGCCCTGGAGTTTTGTTGTTTCACTGTCTATAGAAAAATTCTGCATTTATTATCCTTACTTTGATCTTGACACTGGCTTTTCATTTATCTTTTCACAAAACATAAGCTGCAAAAAGATACAGAATAATTTCATTTTTTAAGCATACATTTTTTACTTGTTTTTTAGTATGCCAGTACTGAGGTCGATGGAGAACATTATATGACCCCTGAAGACTTTGTCCAGCGCTATCTTGGACTATATAATGATCCAAATAGCAACCCGAAGATTGTGCAGCTCTTGGCAGGAGTCGCTGATCAAACCAAGGATGGGTAAAAGCCTTTATACATTTTTTGATAATTAATGTTCTGAATATCTTATTTAAAATAGAAGAACCATAAGTTACCTATGACCATCTAGCATTGTAATCTTAATAACCTGTTTTTTTTCTTAGAAGTTTATAAAAACTGTTATTTATTGCTATTATCAATGATACTGACATGTATTTCTTTTATGTTACATGAGAAAAATCATATATCATATTAAATAATTTGAGTAGAATAGTTTTCAGATAATGAAGTGTATTTCTTTTTTTTTTTTTAAGATTTATTTATTCATTTACACAAGAACCGGGGTACAGGCCAGATGCGCGGGACGGTGAGAGTATTCACCGGAGACAGAGTGGGGAACAGAACAGACAGACAGACGAAATACACTGCTAAGGGGAGCAGCGGGCGAGACAGGAGAGGTCTGCTGCGCCATGTGGGACCCTCACTGGCTGGCTGGGATTGAACTCGAGCTGCAGAGGCTGTGGATAGCTTCAAAGCACAGCGCTTAACCGCCTGCGCCATCAGGGGAGGCTCAATGAAGTGTATTTCTTTCATTAAGTCATTCAGTAAACATTGAGTATGTAGTATATTTTAGGTACTGTTCTAAGTGTTTGAACTACTTCAGTGAATGAATTCACAGAAACAAAACTAAAAAGCAAATTAAAACTTGTTATAAATTCTATGAAGAAAATTAAATCAGAGAAGAATTTAAAGAGTGGTATTTTTTCATTTATCTGTCTACTCATTTACAACTATTTAATGAATAACAATTTATCTGTCTATTCATTTACAAATATTTACTGAATAACACTATTGCCAGGTACTGTTGGACCTTAGAAATATAAACATTAATAAAATAGGATCCCTGGCCTTAAGAAGGAGCTCATGACCTAGTGAGAAAGGATGAGTAAGCAAAGAAAAACAAAAGAATAATGCTTCTGAATCCAGGTTCTATCACAGAAGTATATAAAATGTATAGCGGGCACCTAAGAAAGCATGATTAACTGTTTTAGGTGGTTAGGACAGGAGTATCATAGAGGTGGTGCTTGAGTAAGCTCTCACAAGACTAGTAGGAGCTTCCGGTAGTTGGACAAGTAGGGAGGGAAATTCTAGGAAAGAGGAACAACAGTGGCATAAAGTACCAGTGTGTGTTTTGAACAGTGGCAGTGTGTGTATGGGGAGGGGTTTGCAAATACTCGGTGTGGCTGTGCATAGCTTTGCTGCTGTTGGAGCTGTGGTTGGAGTGGAGCTGGTCCCTTGTGTGCTACACATTGACTATATCCTGTAGGCTTGTGATTCTCTGTCTTGGAGATATTTTTAGCCTGGGTGTGTGCGGTAACAGAAATAACAAGGTACATCTTACTAGAGTGTCAGTTTACTTAAAGGAGAAAAAGCATACCATATTTATATTAAAATCAAATATGACTATGATGGAGTGAATGTGACATTTGTATGAATTAGGAAGAAAATTTTGCCTTCTCTGTGACTCTCAAGAGACATCCCCTGACTTCCAGGAGGATGCAGGTACTTTCTCCTACCTGTTGAGGTGCTCCTATGAAAAAGTAGGAAATAAGGAGACTTTAAAAATTATTTCTGTTACCATGAATATGATTATAATATTGTTTATAATTACCCAAGATCAAATCTGAATTAGAGGTAGTATAAACAAGTTTAAATAATTTAGATAAGTGTATGGGAAAAGTAGGTTTGGAATGGTTTAATACCATACCCTTTTGTGTTGTGCCACCCCCTGACATGTTTTCTTAGTATGGAAACTTCCCTCTTTCTCCTCTTACGCAGTCTCTTTTTTCCAATAAATAGTACAATAAGAGTGTTTTGATACAGGTACTTTCTGTGGAGAGTCATATAGAGGCAGTATTGTATGATATAAATAGCATGATGGGTTGTCTAAGAGTAAAAACCATCTATTCACCAAGTATTTGTGAGATTGTGGCTTAAACTTTGAAGTTCTGGTTGTATAAGGGAAAGTGAAATGATTTTATGCAGTGAATACAGATCTTAGGAACTATTATTGTGTGATCTGATCTCAAATATTTAGACAGTTGCTTGTTTGAAACTAACTTCTAGTACTGGAGTTTCTATATTTAATTCTAGTCAAAATTTCATCTAGAGGCTCTGTTCTCCTACAATGTGGAGAACTATAGTTTTCCTATCTTTAGCTTTTTCACAAGTGTTTTCCTTTAATATTCTCCATGCATATAGAGAGCTCTTTATGCAGAAGTATTGGCAGTTTTAAAAATTGTAAAATTTAGGTATTAATGTTTTGCGGTTAGTTTCCATTCAATGAATGGAAAGGAACTAAGTACAAGATTTAAAAAAAAAGTCATATTTATACAATACATCAAAATTATAAAGTGGATATGTATTCTTCATAAAATGTCAGAGAGCAGGTATGGTTCAAAAGTGAAAGTGCCCCTTCATCCTCATTAAAAGAAAACAAACTCTTAAAGTGTGTACTAAGCAGTGGTTTCTTTACTCCAGTTTGTGATCTTTGGGTGCTGATGCTTCTTGAAAACAGAAACCTAGTTTTTCCCTGGTTCACAGTTTATCAAGAGAAGCCAGAAACTGGATATTTAGTTGAAGTCTTATGATTTCCTAATGTTGGCAGAGAATGAGGTTAAGAAGTAATACTTCGTATGCCAAAGAGAACACATCTGTGGGCCAAATTCAGTCTGCCAGTGGACAGTTTATGACCTTTGCTAGTTAAGGAAAAAGTTTTTGACTTCAAATAACTACAAGAAGTTTTACTACAGGGCTTGAAATGTGTTTTAAAGCTACACATTCTATATTTCAGGGCAATTGTATTTTTGCTGTCTAATTCCTAGGATTTGATTTGGAAAAAAACAGGATGTTGTGGGTATTTTAAAAACTCATAATTAGCCCAGCAACTTTCTATTTTTATTCTTTAAGTCATTCTTATATTCAAGAAATAATTCATTTTATAAGAATTTCAAGTATGAAAAATAGATGACTGGATCAAGAAGATGTGGTACATATATACCATGGAATATTACTCAGCATTCAAAAAAGATAAACACATGCAATTTGCAGCAACATGGATGGCACTGGAAGGGATCATGCTCAGCGAAATAAGCCAAAAAGAAAAAGAAAAATACCGGATGGTCTCACTCATAGCAGGAATCTAGAAAACTTAAATAAGGGACCAGGAAAATGAATATAAGAAAGTGAAAATCAAAATCAACAAAAAACTATGAACCAGAGACACTTTTTGGGGGGTGGGGGGCGGGAGGGGAAGGATTGGGGTCAGAATGGGGCGTTTGCAATTGTATGGGGGAATATAAAAATAAAATTTAATATTAAAAAAAAAAAAAAAAGAATTTCAAGTATGTCAGAAATATGTAGTGTAGAAATAAAGATCTTTTGTAACTCCTTCCCTCATTTAGTACTCTATGTTACTCATTCTCATACTTTCAGATCATACCATACTATTTAGTTTAGTTCACAGATTAAAACTATGTACTACTTGTTGCTTTTTAGGGATGATCATTGTGATACCCAGTATATTATAACTGTTTTTACTGCCCTAATATCTGTATAATGATTAAAAAAATACATAAACAGAAATTTATTAAGACCATCAAGTATGTATGTTTATATCAGTATTTACATTTCCTGATTTTCTAATAAGTTAAAATTTTTTTGTTTTACTTTGAATTGGAATCCAAATAAGATCTGTATATTGTAATTAATTGCTATGTCATTTAGGTCTTTAAAAATTATTTTTTGGTAACTATAGTATGTTTTCTTTGTAGTTCCCTACATTTTCCTTTGTCCTTTGCATTTTCTGTAAATTGATGATTAGATTAGAACAGTGGTTTTCAATATGGTGGATACTATTGGCATCTCATGGGTAGAGGACAGGAATGATGCTAAACATGATACAATGTGCAGGAGGCTCCCACCAAAAAGAATGAACAGTCTTTATATTCAGTAGTCCCAAGATTGAGAAACTCTAATCTAGAGACCTGATCAGATTCAGGTTTAATTACTCTCAGTCTAGTTCTCTTGTGATATTAGGGCTTATTTGATTATTGCTCAGGCTCATTAATCTCTTAGGGGTTCACTTAAGGGTAATACTCTTAATTCTCTTGTTCCTTCTTTCTTTATTATCTGGAATACCTTTACAAAGAAAAATGTCACCTCAATTAATTGGTTATCCTGAACTACAGCTCATATGTAAAGGCAAGTTAAATGATGTTTCCCCTTTCTTTTTCAGCTAGTCACATTTTACATTTTATTCCAGGTTGATCTCCTATCAAGAGTTTTTGGCATTTGAATCTGTTTTATGTGCTCCAGATTCCATGTTCATAGTGGCTTTCCAATTGTTTGACAAGAGTGGAAATGGAGAGGTGACATTTGGTAAGGAAAAAAAAAGATTTTAAGTGATAAGTGAAGTTAGTGAGGCTGTTCCAGTCTATAACTACTAAATCTAATAACTGAATATATTATTATTTATGACCTTACTTAGGACCTAGTCAATAAGTGAAGTATTAATTTCCTAAAAGGATTTGCACAGGTAAAGTGGTTTTATTTTCTTTAAAGCATTAGATTCTTGCCAAAATGAAGGAATCTAGGAATGCTGATCCTTCAGTTCATTGAGTCATTTACACATTCCTAAACTAGGTGGTGTAAAATTTTCTTGTTTGGGGCCAGCCTGGACAAATCTCTTTATGAAACAGCATGAACAACATGGAGTATTCGTCTCATTCTTTAAGAGTTTTGGGTAGAGTTCAGAGCTTCTCTGTAGCATCTTGTGGAAAATTGCAACTATGAACTTTGTAACACCAAGAATAGGATAAAGGAATGAGTTAAGGCAATAATAATTCTAGTATTCTATGAACCTCTATTTTAGGTTTTTGGTTTTAGGAAACAAAAGACTAAAATATTAAAATTGCCATCTGAGTTGGATGTAGAAATTCTCTTGGCATATAGTCTATCACATTGTGGATGTCTAATAAGCCAATAAATTAGATTTCCAACTGTAGCCACATAGTAATTTTTTAAAGATATGTGTTTGCAGAAATGAATTTGTGTTTAGTAAATGTATCAGCTAATTTTTCCTGCAACAGGCTTTTCAATAAAAACAATGTATTTAATTGAAAAGACAAATTCTTTTCAAGGACCTTGAGCCTTCCTCCTTCTTTTTAAATTAAAATACTTGTATTTTTTTATTGTGGTAAAACAACACATAACAAACAACTTACCATCTTAACCATTTTTGAGTGTACAGTTCAATAGTGTCAAATATATTCATATTGTTGTGGAACAGATTCTAGAAATTTTTCACTTATAAAGCTGAATGTGGGCCCCTTTTATCCTGTGAATTGGCATCAATGCATGGTAGAGAAATTCTTGAAAATCAGGCTTTTTCTGAGCCACAGAGCTAAATATTCACAGTAGAATTCTAAAACAAATATCCTTTAGCTAAACCTGAAGGAAGAAGTATCACTGCTGTGGTAAGAATGATGAGAAGGTACCAGTACTTGAAGAACCAGTAGTGATCTTATTGGACACATGTTCTAACTTGGTATTGATCATTACCTTCCTTCTGCCACTGACCCAGCTGTCTTCTGTATGAGAAGATTTTCCCAAATAAATACCTATGCGGAGTCCTTTAGGTTTCTTTGCTTATCTTGGCATTCTTCCTGCTTTGGAGCAAGCTCTGGCTACTCTGTCTCCTAAAGAATGTTGACTTCCCTCAGAAGCACCTAGATTCTATAATTTAAAGCATAGAACCTTTATCATCTCATCATTCAGCATTGAATCTGTACAATTAGTAATGCTGCATTTTTTCCCATAGATATCACACATGCTTACATGTTTTATTTCCAAATATGTAGAAATGAGTGGAAAATAACTTGATACAAGTATCTGGGTTAGAGACAGTATCCTGGTGCTTCTGTCACGTGCTCATTGTTTCAGAATTGGATTTCCCAAAAACAAATGGTAATTTATTTTGTCCCCCCCTATCTTGGCATCATTATTCTTGTGTCCACTCCATTTGATTGATTTTTCCCTGTTTTTTAAAAAATAAATCACTCAAGTCAGTTCATCCAACAGACTAACATTAGAGACTCATGCCATTGTTGATGAGTAGTTTAAACTGATGTAGGAAGAAGCTGAGTGGTTTATGTATACCTTATTATTTCATGCAGATGTGAGCTAGTAGTTATTTGATCCCAGCTTCATCATTTTGTAGATTTTCCCTCAGAATGTCATTTATGAGTTAGGATTTCAAGAAAATATAATTGGGATTTAAAAAGCATAGAAATCAGATTTAGCTTTTATAGCATCCAGAATGAACTAAAGAACATATAAACCATGCAGAATCCTGCTTTCACTCTTCCTCATAATCTAGAGATAGGAAGATTCTTATGAGATAAAGCTCTACCCCCTTTTGACATTGTTCCTGGAGTCCAGGCCAGATGGATGGTTCTCTTGATGTTGCTTACCTGATTCCTGGGAACCTTGACCTATTCTCCTTCCTACCTTATCTTCCCAGTTTTGAGATTCCATTTTTAGACAAATTTTATTAACCAGAATGAAAATCATAATGAAGGATTGGATGTTTAATTTTACATTCTCAAGAAAATAGGAAAATCATTGAAATGTAACAAATGCTACTTACCAAGATTTCTAAGATCTTCTTAGAAATTTTACCTTGTATTCAAGACTATAGAATTTCAGCATAAGGAAATAATTAACTTGGAGTTTATTTTTATAAGATTTTGGATCAGTGATAAAGGTCAGTTTTCATGTTTGTACCCACTTACAAATAATGAATTGTACTTGTGTATGTGCATACACGTTTAGGTAAGAGGAAATTTTAGTTCCGTTCTAACTCTAAATCCTTTTTACCAAATGGTCTTATGTTTTCTAGTTTGAAGCTTATTTAAGTATAGTTTTCTCTTGTATACATCAGAAGAGAAAAGTAGGAGAGAATGTTGGATGCAAGGTGTACTGGAGTGGGGAGAGATTATTATGCCATCGGTGTCCCTCTTTGGTATAGTCCCTCATGGACTATATTGATAATGTTTTCTGTGTACTTGTATATATTGTTCTCATCTGTGCTTTTTTTATAAAAGGTATCCTTTTTATACACATGAAATTATATACTTAAATTGTCTGCATCTTTGCAAGTGTTTATATAAATAGCAGTAACATTTACTTGTACTTGAGTGCTGGATAAGTTTTATTTTTTTTATTGTTAGAAGTGTCTCTACTCTAGGGGAGAGGACTTACATTGAGAACTTGGTAATTCATTTCAGAATGTACAAGCTCAGGAGAGAGTTTTGGAGTTTTTAAAAGAGTGAATAAAGCCTTTGGATAATTGTTTCCTCTTTAGTAGTCCCGTAATAAAACTTCTAATGCATGCTGTGGATAATTATTTAATGGCTGTATATCTGTTACTACTTGGTGGCATGAGCCTTGTAGAGGCCCTTGCATGAGTGGTGTATGTTAGATACAGTATAAACTTGCTTTGGTTTCAATACTACTCATTAGTGTACTGGATATTCTGCTCAGTAAAATTAGTTGAGATTGTAAAGTACAGCTATATTCTACATTGTGTTGTCAATAGCTGCCATGCGTTTGCTCCAAATTAAAAAAAAAAGCTTGTTGCTTTAACAGAGATGTAATCATTCTAAAAAAGTTCCATCAAAGTCTACTAACTAATAAATGAATATAAAGTGTTAAATACATTGTAAGTTTTCCATTGAAATTTTATCAATGTTGTGTCCCAAAGTGTATGCGTAGGAATCGGAACTCTCTAAAAGTAACTTTTTTAAGGGTACACCTTTACCCCCTGACTGTAGAACCCTCAAAAATTAGGAATTGCTTTTGATTTTGTACTGTGTGATCATCAGAGTGTACTGCCAATAAAAAATGTGTTCCTTTTGTGCCTGTAAGGTAGATTTTTTTCCCTAAAGGGAAGACTGTTGGGTGTTTTAGGCACATTAGATTGATCTAAATGTGAAAAATGTTACACCTTCTTCAGTGGAAATGAAGCTATGGACATGGTATAATATGAAATTCTAATGCTAAAAAATACTTAGTTTAATCTGGTTAGCGCTTCACCTGGGTAAAAATTAAATCAGGAAGAATTTTCAGATATTGCAGAGAAGTTTATATTAATATGGCTACTTGAGTAGCTTAGTGTTTGAGGTTAAAAAAAAATAAATGAATATGGCGTTACTAGTTTTTATGCCATTTGGTGATGGGCTTTTGAAGCATATAGCTAATGTAGTCACAGATTATCTTTAAATGTAAACTCATCTTTCCTGAGAAATGGATCTTTGTATTTATTTGGCAGCAGGACTACCTATTGACTGACTGTACAGTAGTCCCTTCTGGAGGTAGGTAAAGGCTTATTAGAAATACTTATGAAAAACAGAGGAGGTCATTCAGGAACTAAAGACCTACCTGGAGGTAGAACCTAGAAGTCTGGAACTGAGTCTACATGCTATGTTGGTTGGGACTTCCTCTGCAAGTTCCTGTTGTTGATCTTTTTGTTGTTGTTGTTTGTTTTCCTTTGTTTTCTTTTTTTGGTCTCTTAGTTGTTCCTCTCTTTACCCCCAAGTTTTCCTCCACTGAAAAACTCTTTACTTCCTTAAGTCTCGCCATTGTTTTTGTTCAGTTATACACAAGGATATTTATTGTTCATGATGGGAGTCCTTCTAAAGCTTCTCTGACTTTACTTTAAAGAACAGTGCTGGTGAATCTCAGCTATTAAGGATTTTTTTCCCCTGACAATAAAAATGTTTGGTCTCAAGCCTGTAAGTTGGAAGCAGTGGCTCCTGCTGGGCTGGAATCCTTGGAATCAGGATGTCGTTGGGCTGATGGTAGGTGGGCTGTGTCACAGGGCTGATGGCTTGTATACCTACAGGAGGAGTTCTCTGGCCACACCGTTGGTACAGCAGCTCCTTCCAGGCTCATTCATGGAACAGGCATGGCGGCAGTCTTGGAGAAGAGTGCCAGCCCCGGTCAGAGGTAATTTTGTACTGCAGAAAGGTGAACAAGACCAGTAGGAAGCTCCCATAAGGACTAGGGAGGGATGAGGGTGGATGAGATGGGGAGACACACTGTGGGCCACTGGGAAATTAAAACCTCTGTTAAGACAAATTTATGTAATGTACATGCTTCAGTGTGTATTTCGTCTAGTCCAATCATCATAAGTGACTGATACAGCTTAACTGACTAAGGTTATAATCTGAACATTTTAATCACAGTTATCGCTATTACCTACCCTCCTGACAAATCTATGTGCTCCTCTCCCTTGAGCAAAGAGAAGATAATGACAGGCTACTTTTGTATCTGACCCCAATTCCCTTTTCAAAGGAATTATAAACCATTTCTTTCCTAAGCCCATGCTCTGCAGGAAGTAAAAAAGTTGTGTATTGTTTTCTATATGTCAGAAAACAAATGGATTCCTATTTCCTTTAGCAATGCCAACCTAGGATAAAACACTAGATCATATGCTGCCAATAATGTGACTGTCATATCCCTATCATCCAGGCCCAAATTATGGCCACTGAAATAACACTCTACGGAGTGCTGTGAACAACTAAGCACCCTTGTTTGCCACTGGAAAGACGGATTCTCTCTGAGGGGAAAAAGGGAAAATTTACTATGCAGTTTGTTAGATGGATTGGGTATATTTGAGATTGTTGGTCTTCCCTTTTCTGTGATGCAAAACTGATAAAGTCAGATAAGACAAAGAGTACATCAGTTATGTGAGCTATTGTCTCACACAAGTATAAACTCTCCAGTTCTGGAGCTTTTGTTCATTTTTTTTTCCTTCATAAGCACATCCTGGTAAAAGCAAAGTGGTAATTATGAATTGAATTTCAAAACAATAGTTGTACTAATTATTTCTGTTAGCTTCCGGAATTTGCCTTCGGCAGTTGATAGTGGAAGTAATAACAGAAGGGAAGTGGAATTATATCAAGAGGTGCCAAAGTAGGTTTGAAATTTTGTTAGTCCTAGTAACTCAAGTTGTAGCCTGTGACATGGTTAAAATAATTAAAGGTGTCGGGGCAGTTAATAAACCACAGCACATGATAATGTCATAATACACCATATTAAAAAATGGCCAAATGACCACAATGGAAGAATAGACAATGTACAAATAAATACTCATGGGAAAAGACAATTAATATTTGTGTAGGATACTATGAGTAATTTGGCCATCATTTTAAGTGTTTCAGAGATATTCTGTGATCTTATTTGAAGGTTGCTAGGGAGTTTACAAAATATAGGATTTTAGCTAAAATTTTTATTAGAGCTATTTTTATGAATATAAATTATATACTATAATTTTAGTTTATAATTATTTTTTTGTGACAGAAAACAACTTTCATAAATTAAATTTTCATTGTTGAAAGCCTTTGGATCTTTGATTTATTTGATATAGTTTGACCCTTAAGATTCTGCTGTTTTCTGATCATATAAAGGGAATTTTTGATTCACCATTATATAAAACTTCTCTAGCAAGCTATATATATATATATACATCTCATCAAATAAGAGAGAGTTGTGAACATTAAAAAAAAGGTTATCCTTGAATTAAATTTTTCCCTTTAATAATTAATTTTAACTGGATTTATAGTAAGTTAAGGTACCCTATTCTACTTTCCATAATGTCTTCATGTTTCCTTTATTTAACACTTTATTTGCTAGATGTTAAAAATAAGAAATCAATTTAATTAATTTGGGAATAGAAACAGCTAATTGATTATATTAGAAGGATCCTAAAAAAATCTTTGCTGAGCTGCCTTAACATTTTTAGTTTGAAAGACTTTTTGCAACCCTTATAATTTCAATTATCTTGTAAACTTTAACATATTTCACAACTTGCTTATTTAAGTGTCTTTTTGTATTGATCAGGGTCACATGAATTGCTATTGAGTCAATTCTTTGTTAGTAGAAACAAAACCCCATATATTTATTTTGTGTTTATGGTAGGTGATAATAATTTGACATGATTTTAAAACCTGGAAACACTATTGCTACTTTAGGCAAGAAATAAATGCTACATTCCATTTGAAAGTAAAGTGAGAATCCCATCTCCCCAGTGACATCCAATGCCTTCTTCTACTTACCTGATTGCTGTGACCTATTTAGATATTGTATTGAGTCCAGACTGGTAGGATTGCCAGTTCAGGATTCTAACATTGCCCCCCTCTCTCCACCCCAACAATGCTTTTAGCAAGTAAAAAAGGTATATAAAACTAGAGGGAATCCATTAAGCCATTTACATTGTGAGATTTGTATCTTATTCAAAGAATTTGCAGAAATTAGAATTAGTTGCAGGAGATTATGAAACATTAAATTTTAATTTACTAACTCTCTAGTATAATTGGTAGCTAATGATGGTAAACCCTTTTACTAATACAATTGGCTTAAATTTGAAAATAATTTTGTTCTTAAGATATCAGTAAAATAGGCTTCCTGCTTTCTTAACTTTGTTAATGATTTTTTTTTTTTTTTTGGCATGAGCTTCTAAATTAGTCTATCCAGTCTATGCTTGTTAAAGTACCAGTCATTTGTGACTTGACTTTTATAGTAAGTGTAGAACTGTGTAAGAAAGTGAATGACATTGTTAGTGCATGAAGACAAGCTGTCAGAGGGTTTTGGTTGTATTATTTTACTGTGTGACTAGTTCCTATCTAAAAGTTAGTATGCTGTGTTTAGTCCTTTATTTAAAAGTGAATCACTAATTTCACTTATCTTAAAATATTTTAATAGTTGAGACTAATAATCATGTTTTTATGGGAATTTTGAAGCTTTGTGTCAAGACCATATTTTTGACAATATCAGAAGCTTTTAATAAGGTGCTTGCTGCTGAGCTAATGATATGCTTTTGGTAGTATTTCTTATACCTATCTTCAATAGACATATTCAGGCTAGTGTGAATGTAATAATCAAGTCTCAATCAAACCATACTTAGTATGACAAATATTGCATTATACTGTAATTTAGGTATTCATGCTTCTGATAAAGGGCTTAATTCGACTCCTTGAGGAACCGGGAAAACACTATTGATTTTATACTGAAATGCAAAGTAGCAGCCATTTATAGTGCAAAATATTAATCACTTCCTAATTAAAATTAAATCAAGAAAAATTAAGAATCTCATGGCCTTATATGTAATGGTACACAATCTTAAGTGTAAAATTATATTTTATCAATTGTGTTCCTGTGCATGGGTTTCTGGGCACCAAAAAATTTGCAGTTAATAGAAGCAGATAATCTTGACTTTTAAAATTTCTCTTAATTTCTTTCTGTAGGAACATTGCAGTGGACTAAACTACTTATTCCAGATATAATTTATTTATTTTTGTTTTCCCTTTTAAGAAAATGTCAAAGAAATTTTTGGACAGACTATTATTCATCATCATATCCCTTTTAACTGGGACTGTGAATTTATCCGCTTACATTTTGGGCACAATCGGAAGAAGCATCTTAACTACACAGAATTCACACAGTTTCTCCAGGTGAGCTTACATTTTATAACTATTGTAAGTACAATTCATCCTCTTCCACCTCCTTCTCTTCCAGTTGTATGTATTGTTTAATACAAAAATAAAGGAATCCCTGTGGTATTTCACCTCATTTTTCATTTTCTGCTCCCAGAGACAACTTCTTTAAACTCTCAATTGTTTCTTTCAGTGTTTATATCCATAGCTTTACGTAATAAACTTTTGCTCATACTTTTACATTTTAATCCTTAGATATTTTTGATTGAATTTGAACTGAATTGAGGATTAGTACTGGCTCTTTCACTTCCCTTTTCTACCACAGACTAGGACATTATCTGTCTCCCCTTCTCCATAGTTATGTCATGATTCAGTTTTATCAGTAATCATATGTGAATGACTATAATTTTATAAATGTCATGTGTGACTAAAATGATTAGAGTTTCTAGATTTCTATTTGTTTAGTTTTCTATATATTAAGCTGTGATTTATTCTTAAACTGCCTCAGTTATAAAAATCTTGTCTTAATGTTTAAAACACCATGAATATTATATTAATTTCATTTTCTTGGAATTCTCTAGCTCTCTTTTTAAAAAAATTAAAGTAAAATCCACATAACACAGAATTAACCACTTAAAAATGTACAATTTTTAGTTCATTCAGTGTTGTGCAACCACCACCTCTATATAATTCTAAAACCATTTCACTATCTCAAAAGAAAACCCTATGCCCACTGAACAGTCACTCCTATTTCTGCCTCTCCCCAGCCCCTGACAACTGCCAATCTGCTTTTGTCTCTATGGATTTACATTTTCTGGATATTTCATGTAAATGGAATTATTGGAATTGCTGGGTTATATAGATTTCTAGGGTTTGTTTATGGCCAATATTCCTGATGAACATAGATGCAAAAATACTCAACAAAATATTAGCAAGCCAAATTCAATAATACAATAAAAGGATCAGATACCGTGATCAAGTGGGATTTATTCCTGGCATGCAAAGATGGTTCAATATATGCAAATAATGAAATATGACATACCACGTTAACAAAATGAAGTATAAAAATCTTCATCCTCTCAATGGATATAAATGCAGAAAAACATTTGAAAAATTCGTGATAAAAATTCTTAACAAATTATGTATAGATGAAACATAGTTCAACATAGTGGCCATACACAACAAATCTACACCTAATATATTCAACAATGAAAAACTAAGCTTTCCCTCTAAGATCAGTAACAAAGATCACCACCTGCTTTTGCCTCTTTGTTAGAAAGTACTAGAAGCCCTAGCCAGAGCAAAAAGGCAACATCTATATTGGAATGAACAAGTAAAATTGTACCTGCTTGCAGATAATGTATTATATATAAGGAAGCCTAAAGACTCCACAAAAATAAACTATTAGAACTAATAAATTCTGTAAATTTGGAGGCTAGAAAATAATATATGAAAATCTGTTGCATTTCTTAAATTAACAAACAACTGTTAGGAAGAGAAATTAGGGAAAAAAATCCCATTTACAATAACATTAAAAAAATACTTAGGGATAAATATAACCAAGATGGTGAAAGGTCTGTTAAGTAAAAGCCACAGAACATTAATAAAAGAAATTGAAGAAGACACAGGTAATTGAGAAGATATTCCACGTTTATAGATTGGAAGAATTAATACTGTTAAAATGTTCACACTCTCCAAAGCAATCTACATCTTCATTGTAATTCCTAGCATAATTCAAGTGACATTTTCCACAAAGATTAAAAGGAAAATTCTAAAATCCTAAAAATATTAGAACTACAAAAGACCTTGAATAGCTAAAGCAGTCTTGGACTTCCTGATTTCAAACTATATTACAAAGTGGTAGTATTCAAGACAGTGTTGTATTGTCATAAAAAGAGACACACAGGTCAATTGAACAAAAGAGAGTCCAGAAATAAATTCACACATACATGTGTGGTCAATTTTCAACATAAAATATAAGAATAAATAATGGGGACAATAGTAATCTCAATAAATTGGGGAAGTTAGATATCCACATTCAAAGAATGAAACTGGACTCTTCTTTTATACCATATACAAAAAAACCAACTCAATGTCGATTAAAACTTGATGTAAGACTTGAAATGTTAAAACCCTAAAAGAAAACTGCAGGTGAACTCCTTGACATTGGTCTTGGCAATGATTTTTTGGATTTGATAACCAAGGCAAAGGTAACCAAACCAAAAATGTATGAGTTGAAGTACACGCAACTAAAAAAATACTTCTATACAGCAAAGGAAACCATTAACAAAATGAAAAGGTAATGGAATGGAAGAAAATATTTACAAATCTTATATCAGATAAGGGTTATTATCCAAAATATACAAAGAATTTATACAAGTTAATAACAAAAGGAAATAACCCAATTGAAAAATAGACAAGGGACTTTGTATAGACATTTTTCCAAAAAAGATATACAGTTGACCAGCAGGTACGTGAAAAGGTGCTTACCATCACCAGTCATCAGTGGATAGCAAATCAAAAGTGACAGAGCATCTCACACTTGTTCTATTATGAGAAAGACCATATATGCTGGCAAGATTGTAGAGAAAAGGAAACTCTTGTACCCTCTTGGTGGGAATGTAAATTGGACAATCAGCATGGTGAATGACATGGAGGTTCCTCAAGAAATTAAAAATAGAGCTACCATGTGATCCAGCAATCTTACTTCTGGGTATGTGTCCAGAAGAAACAAAGTCACTATCTTAAAGATAAATTTGTATACCCATGTATATTACAGCATTATCACAATAGCTGTGGTATAGAAACCAACTAATTGTCCTCCAGCAAATGAATGGACAAAGAAAATGTCATTATATATAAATATATATATATATTTATTTATATATATTACATATAATATATATAATACTTATTGTGCATATATAATGAAATAGTCATTCCAAAAAAGGAAGGAAATTCTGCCATCTACAATAATATAGATGAACTTGTATGTATAATCTAACAACAAAAAGTTGACCACATTGAAACAAAACAGTGGTTGCTAGGGCTGTGTGAGTGTATGGTGTATGTGTGTGTGTTTGTGTGTGTGTGGTTGGTGGGTGAGGGTGGTTATTGTGACAGTCTGGAAGAAGGGTCCAAACTTTCAGTTGTAAGATAAATAAAGTGTAAATATCTAATGTTGACTATGTTGATAATATTTTTGTGTATAATTGATATTTCCTGATAATAAAACTTTAAGTGTTCTCTTAAAAAAAGATTAAATATTAAATATGTGAGGTGATAATGTGTTAATTTACTTGATGGTGGGAATCATTTCACAGTGTGCCTATAAAGTCATGTATACTTTTAATATATTACAATTTGACTTTTCAATTATAACCTAATAAAGCTGAAATTAAAAAAAAAAGTAGAAGGGGAAGAGAAAGCTTTGTCAAATCATGCTGCTTGTTTATTTTTGTACTCTTATGTCACACATATTTTCAACTTGAGTATAGTGTTTCTATTTCCATTGCTCTTTTTGCAAGAAGATCCAAATGTTTAGATGTTGGATGATAGATGTTAAACTGTTTAGCTGATTTCTTCCATTAAGACTACTGAAAGATTTAGTATAATTGTTTCTAACCTATCAACCTGCTAAGAAAAAGAAAACAACTTTTCAAAATGTGTATTATTGTTTACTATCACACATATACAGAAAAGTCATATAAAACAAATTATAGTTTAAATAGAAACAAACACCTACTAAATAGTTTGAATTACCATTGAGATGGCACAAAATTCATAGGAAAATATAAATAAATTAATAAAATGTAAGGCTTCTATTAAAAACTTTTAAATATCAGAAAAAGGCAAAGCAACTTTGAATTGTAGGTTTTGATAAATATGAGTGAAAATTGCAATACAAATCAATAGTATTTATAATACACTATTAGATATGAATATTATTTCCAAGGTTGCAAATTGTGTGAAAATTGCATCCAATGGTGCCATAATTATGTTGTAACATGTTAGTTTGGATTATGTCTTGGGTTTCCAGGGCAGAAATTCCCTAATTTTGACTTTTGCACAGTACTTATGGTATTAATGACACTTTTTAAAAAAGATTTATTTTTATTTATTTATGCATACAAGAATTGGGGTGTAAGCCAGAGGTGCCAGGGCATGAGAGGATTCACCAGAGACACTGGGCAGCAGAACAGGCAGATGTTCTGAGGGAAGCAGCGGGCGAGACAGGAAAGGTCTCCTGCACCATGTGGGTTTCTGCTTGGCCAGGGATCAAACTCATGTTCCAGAGACTGGAGCTAGGTTGATATCTGAGACTTCAACCCCTGTGCCACCACGGAGGTCTACTTTGTTATTTTTATTGATGTTTCTTGTTACAAATTTTGGATACCTAGTAGTTCTGAAGTTCAGATATTCTGAATGTTTTACAGCTTATGAGTAACCGTACCCCAAATCAGAGCAATAGTCGAATACTAGTTATTCATTAGCTATTTATCATTTTGATGTTAGAATTGCTAAATATTTCACTTACCAGTCAGTAGAGTTTCTTACTGGGTTCATTTAAAAAAATTGTTTAAAGGTGTTCTCTGTTGGAGAGGGTAGGGGGCAGACTTTCAAAATTAAAAGTTGAAAATAAATGTTTTTAATTTTTTTTAAGATTTTGTTTTATTTATACAATAGTTGGGGTACAGGCCAGAGGTGTGGGAGGGTGAGAGGATTCACCAGAGACAGAGTGGGAGCAGAACACAGGTGGACTGAATGCCCTGCTGAGGGAGCAGCGGGTGAGACAGGAGAGGTCTGTTGTGCCATGTGGGTATTTGCCTGGCCAGCCGGGAATCGAACCCGTGCTGCAGAGGCTGGGGACAGTTCCACAGCGCTGCACTCAACCTGCTGCGCCACTGGGGAGGCCCAACACATGCTTTTTATTTATTTATTTATTTTTAAAGATTTATTTACTTATGCATATAAGAGCTGAGGTACAGACCAGAGGTGCAGCGGGTGAGAGGACTTACCAGAGACAGTGGGGAACAGAACAGGCAGACTGACTGAAATACACTGCTGAGAGGAGCAGGGGGCGAGACAGGAGAGGTCTGCTGCGCCATGTGGGTAGCTCCCTGGCCGGCCAGGGATCTAACTCGTGCTGCAGAGGCTGCGGATTGCTTCATAGTGCAGTGCTTAACGCCTTGTGCCACCAGGGAGGCCCTCAACACATGCTTTTTAATAGAATGAAATACATGCACTGGGTACAGTTTTTCACCAGTAGAGCATTCTGAGAGCAGAACTGCACTGTTCATTTCTGCTGCACCACAGGCCCAACACATGCTTTTTAAAAAGAAAAGTTTTGTTGTAAATTCAGAGCAGAACACTGTTCATTTCTGTAGTAAGTGCATGTAGGGGAATGATGTCTTCCATTTCTACAAAATGCACTTGGGTTTGTGCTTTAACCTATCTAAAATCCTATTTCTAACTTTTTCCTCTAGGAGCTACAATTAGAACATGCAAGACAAGCCTTTGCACTGAAAGACAAAAGCAAAAGTGGCATGATTTCTGGTCTGGATTTCAGTGACATAATGGTTACCATTCGGTCTCACATGCTTACTCCTTTTGTGGAGGAGAACTTAGTTTCAGTAAGTAAAAAGCAAGTAATTCAACTTTGAGTATTTCCTTAAATTTTTTGTACTCTTGGGTTCTGGATTGCTTCCCTTGACCCGTCAGACTCTCAACTATTCTAACTTTATGCTTTGTTGGTAGAAGGTAAATAGGTGTAAGAGAGGTGGGGGTGATGGTAAACAGTTCTTGCCCAGATCATAGCTTTTGTATGAGCCACTATCTTGTTCTCAATTATTTCCAAGTTGTTTATTTCCATTTTTAGAGTCCAATTAAAGGAAACAAGGAAGTTTTTAGGCAAGGTTGGGCATTGCCTCTCCCAGACAGTCCTGCTTTCACCTTGACCTCTTTCTGCCCAATCAGGCTCCCAAAGCCTTGTTAAGGATGGCTCCTTCCTTTGTTCCCTGCAGGGTGCTATTTGCTAGAGGGTTCGTCACAGGCCTCTGCAGTGTTTTAATAACCATGGCCATGGCAGAAGGTAGGGAGGTAATATGTGGGCATCAGTCTTGGTGGCTCACTCCTCTCTCTGTCCTTCATTTGTGCATTCAGTCTGCATGGACCAGACACAGTTTTGTGTTCTGTCAAACTGCTAATCTCTGTAAAGTAATCATCTGGACCAATAGCAAACTGATGTCATCCACTTCCTCACAAAGAGTGGTGAAACTTGCCTCACTTACCAGTTTTCTTGTTTATGCGCTGTACTTATGTATAAGTTTTTGATTGCTGCTTGTTTTAAATGGAGGGAAGCCAATGAGTGCTTTTGTTGTTTCAGCTGAAGATCATTATCCCTGATTTAGACTGGGGTAGAAAGATCAACTTCTGTTCTTTTTCTTTGGTGAATTTGAACATGGAGCATGTCACTTTCTCCTATACATTTCACCTCCTTGTCACCCATCTCCCACTCCTCTACCCTCACCTTATATTTAGGCCAAAAGTATAAAAGAGAAAAGGAAAGGGAGAGAGGGAGGGAGAGAGGGAAGAAGAAAAGACAAATCTTAGAGGGAAAGATTCTCATACTACCTTAGAGTGAGGGGGATCCACTTAATCTTTTCCAAGTGGGTTAGGTAGACCTATTATAGCCTCAATTTATCAAATGCCATTTCAATTCTTGGACGAATGTATTAAATAATTTGAATCTTGCTTTCGGATCACTGGTATCCAAATTCAGGGTAATGCAAATGTCACCTACTCTTGAGTTAAATCACATATTTGAGGGGTTTGGGAGTGGGTTCATTTGCCCATTATCATCTATACTATTTTTAATAGACTTTTATGATTAAGGTTGTCACACTGGTATTTCCATAAGCATCTGTTTGAATTTTTAATAGAGAATGTTTTTAATCATATGGGTTCCTGTGACTCCTGGAAGTTAGTTTTTTGTAAACTATTAAAAATATTTTCTATGAATGTATTTCCAAATGGAAATAAAGGCCACATTGCTCCCCATCTCTCCTCAGGCACAAGAGAACCCTTTATGTACTGTTCCATACTTTTACTTTATGGTGAATAAATCCTTCCTAGATTTAATCTTCAGTTTTTTTAGTTTAGGTAATTGTAACTTTCATGATATAGATTGAGCCCAACATGGACTATCAAATGTCTTGATTATAACAATGGCCTTAAAAAAGTGTTAGGGGAAAAAAAAAAAAGAAAGCATTAGGAAAGCTGACAGTGTAATAGTTTTAAAATTTTAATTTACCACTGGCTTTTCTATGTATGTAATGGGAAAAAAAACAAGTTTTAAAAATGATTCTTATATTGTACGTTAATGTTTGGTTTTTTATACCAGAACTAGTGGGAGTTCTGTAGTTGAGGGTCTTGAAAATCCTGTTTAAATAACCATTGTTTTTGATCTGTGATAATTACGTTTGTTGTTTCTGACCTTATATGTAGATGAACCATAAAGTCCAACTTCCAGATGTTGCTTTCTTCCTTAAAATCTAAATTACATAGACTTCCCTGAGGGCATTAAATGCTCTGAGTGTTTCAGTACGATGCTTTCCTTGTGTTTATGGGCAGGTTGTTAATTATTTTAATAATGAAGACTTTGACTCTTTGAAAAAAGTGGTTCATAAGTGTGTCTTTTGTGGTTTTTGTTTTTGTTTTTGTTTTTACCTTTTTATGTTGTCATTTCCTAGGCAGCTGGAGGAAGTATCTCACACCAGGTTAGCTTCTCCTACTTCAATGCATTTAACTCCTTACTGAATAACATGGAGCTTGTTCGTAAGATATATAGCACTCTAGCTGGCACAAGGAAAGATGTTGAAGTCACAAAGGGTAAGATATAAAAATTATATATATTACTTTGAACCTCAGCATTTTCACATTTTTCATTTAAGGTATTGGGTTAAATTTACCACACAAAAGCCAAATCTAGAAAGTATGTTACCATGTCTACGTATATGCTTCACTTGGACCATAATGGTCTCCAAAAAATCCAGGTGGATTTAATGGAATGCTGAGGTCAGGAATGGAGAAGTGGCTTTGACAGTTTTGAAAAGAACCTTGGCCCAGTCTGTCAAACAGGTCAGTGGCACTCCGGCAGCAGCTTGTTTGTACTAGGAAGGAGTTGCCACAGAAAGATGGGCAAGCCTACTCATTTACTGAATTGTAGTACTATGTTTTAGATGACTGGAGAATAGCCAATTCTTTTATCTTGTAACTCTGGAGACCAAAGTGAATAAACAGGATAAGAGAGGATTCTAAGGAGATTGTTTTACCTTTCTGAAGTTAATTTATCTGTTATTGCTGTTTTATTATTGTAAGATTTTATTTTACTAGCCTTCAGAAGTTCATAGTTATTATTATACAGTTGAATTTAGGTATTCGTTTGTAAATTTTTTAAATAATACTAAAATGTCTTTAGCTTTCAGATTATAGTTGGTTAAGATAGAAGGTTGTTGTATATTCAGAATCTTTTAAGATTTTAAAATATTTTCTTTCTCTTACAGAGGAATTTGCCCAGAGTGCTATACGCTATGGACAAGTCACCCCACTAGAAATAGATATTCTATACCAGCTCGCAGACTTGTATAATGCTACAGGGTAACTATTGCAATAATTTTTCATGATATCTATTATAGGAAAGTTCTTTTAACATGTGTGAAGCAGTGGTGTGCTTTCAGTTCATCTCATCAAAAGTTTACGTATATCGATTCCAAGAGACAGGAAGATATGTGAAACAGGGAGGAAGAGACAGAGGATAATATGAGACATGGTGACAGTTTGAGTGGGAGGTGGTGGAGGGAGAGGTGAGGGAAAGCTCAGGAGAGGAAAGAACAGAAAGAAGTGGAAGAGCAAGGGAGAGAAGAGATAGAAGGAGAGAGGTAAAAATAAAGGGTTAAGATTCATGAGAGGGAAATAGGGAAAAGGGGAAAAGTGAGAGAGAAGGGGATGGAAATGATAAGAAGTAAAAATTAATTCAGTCAAGGGCCTCCCTAGTAGTGCAGGGATTAAGTGCTAGTGCTATTAAGCTATTGCCAGCCACTGTGGCATAAGTTCGATCCCAGGACAGGAAGCTAAGCCACATGGCACAGAAGATCCTGTCTTGCCCACTGCTCCCCTCAGCAGTGTATTTCAGTAGATCTGCCCTGTTCTCCTCCCCACTCTGTCACTGGTGAATCCTCTTATCCCCCACACCTCTGGCCTGCACCCCATAAATAAATAAATAAATAAAATAATTAATTTTATTTCTTGTATGCATAAATAAATAAAATAAATCTTTAAAAAATTAATTCAGGGCCTCCCCGGTGGCGCAGAGGCTGAGCGCTGGGTTGCGAAGCTGCCCGCGGCCTCTGCAGCGCCAGTTCCATCCCCGGCTGCTCCCCGGCCACCAGAGGAGGGTCCCACATGGTGCGCAGACCCCTCCTGCCGCCCGCTGCTCCCCTCAGCAGTGTACTTCGGTCCTTCTGCCTGGTCTGCTCCCCGCTCTGGCTCTGGTGAATTCTCTCACCCTCCCGCGCTTCTGACTGTACCCAGTGCTTGTATAAACAAAACAAACAAACAAACAAATAAATAAATAAAACATGCCTCTATAAAAGAAAGAAAAAAAAACTTTAAAAAAAAATTAATTCAGGGGCTTCCCCGGTGGCGCAGCGGTTGAGCGCTGGGTTGCAAAGCTGCCTGTGGCCTCTGCCGTACCGGTTCGATCCCTGGCTGCTCCCCGGCCACTGGAGGATGGTCCCACATGGCGCGCAGACCTCTCCTGCCGCCCGCTGCTCCCCTCAGCAGTGTACTTCTGTCCTTCTGCCTGCTCTGCTCCCCGCTCTGGCTCTGGTGAATTCTCTCATCCTCCCGCGCTTCTGACTGTACCCAGTGCATGTATAAACAAACAAACAAATAAATAAATAAATAAAACATGCCTCTTAAAAAAAAAAAAATTAAAAAAAAAAAAATTAATTCAGTCAGGATTTTCTAGAAGTGGCACAAATTTTTAAAGATTTGTGGAAATTTTCCAAAATTTATAAAATAAACTGGCACTCTTTGGTTCATCGTGAATGATCATTTTACTAAATGTATAAACCATTTTGTTTTGAAAAGTATCATTTTCTTGAAATATGCCTGTAATCTTATCATCATAGTTACCATCACAGACAAACTCAGATGTTTTATGCCTCTATTTTATAGATTAAACAACCAAAGTACATATCACGTATTTAATTGGCGATCTTGTACAAATCCAAAAGAAAAACTCTTATCTGTGGGTACCTAACAGGATCTGTGGGTTAGGGGATTTATGACTTATTAAGTGATTAGATTTTTTTTCAGTTGTATGTAGTAGTTTTTGAATATAGGAATATCTGAAAAAATTTTAACCCTAGAAATGAGAACTATAGAAGCTATACATGGGTAATTTATTGCCTTCATGCTAGAGACTTGTTTCCATCTGCAAATTTTAATTTATTGATCTACATTTATTTTATTTATTGTTGATTTACATTATTGTATATGTTTTATAATGAATTGTTGAGCTGGAGATAATATTAAACATACAGATCTGTCTTTGGTGATTGACTTGAAATAACAGGCCATGTCTCATCCTTCTAGAATTCACATTTTTAGCAGATTTTTTGAGTCTCCTTCATGATAATAAATGTTTTCCAAAGGAAAACTGGATCTGAAGTGAGCTGCTAACTGGTTCATGGAATGTATTTACTTTTAAATAAAAATTTTTGGGAAAAGTAGTATGTTCACATGGTTCAAAATGCAAGTTTAGGGTAAAAAAGAAGGCAACAAATATTATCAGCTTTGTATTTAGCCTTCTCAAGGTATATTAAATACATTCAACATACATAAAATACAAGAGACTACATTTAGTTGGATGAACTGTCAAAATTTATACTTTGCTTCTAGCAAGAATGATTTCTTCATTTGAATATCATTGGAATCTTAAATTTGTGTCTTCCATATTGTTATTATTATTATTATTTTTTTAAATAGAGGCATGTTTTATTTATTTATTTGTTTGTTTGTTTGTTTTGTTTATACATGCACTGGGTACAGTCAGAAGTGCGGGAGGGTGAGAGAATTCACCAGAGCCAGAGAGGGGAGCAGAGCAGGCAGAAGGACCGAAGTACACTGCTGAGGGGAGCAGCGGGCGGCAGGAGAGGACCCTCCTCCGGTGGCCGGGGAGCAGCCGGGGATCGAACCGGCGCCGCAGAGGCGGCGAGCAGCTTCGCAACCCAGCGCTCAACCGCTGTGCCACCGGGGAGGCCCTCTTCCATATTATTTTTCAGGAGCCTTATTTTTTGTTGTGGCAAATAGGGTCTAAAGATACTTTTTCTCACTAAAATGAGGTGTGAGATAAATAAAAAAATACTTCTTTTAAACCATAATTCTCCCTCTTCTCTGAAGAAAGATGATCTGTTATAAAGTTTGTTAAGTGTCTAACACTTCTTTCTTTCTCATATTTTTGCCTGAAGCCGCTTGACTTTGGCAGATATTGAGAGAATAGCTCCATTGGCCGAGGGGGCCTTACCTTACAACTTGGCAGAACTTCAGAGACAGGTAGGAGTCTCATAAATAGAATCACTTTCAAAAATGCTGAAATAGTTTGTACATGACAGCCTCGAGCTTCTGAATTTTATGAAAATTTAGAACTACTTTCCAGAAACAGATTTTACTTGACTCAAAAATTACTTTTATAGAGCTACTGTTATCCCTACCCTCATATAGTATTTTTATGGGGTAAATAGATTTATGGTTTTTTTATTTTTTTATTTTTTTGCCTTTACTTTATTAAGGTAAGGAAATTAAGAGTGCAAACATACTTGGCTTACTTCCCCCTAAAACAAGCGGTCTTTTCCTTTCATTTGTTTAGTCACATTTAAGTTCACTTTGTACCATTAAATTGATATTTATAGGGTTTTTAAAATACAAAACATTCCTGTAATGAAACAAAAATATTTCACTGAGGTTGTGTCTTACAGATCGCAACAATAAAAAAGAAGAACTGTCTAATTAATGAATCAGAAAGAAAACCTTGGCTACTATTACATTTTGATAAAATACTATTTTTTTAATATTATAGATGATTGAAAAATAGGTTCTGAGCCCTATAAATAGTTAATGCAGTCTCATTTTCTTATTTCCAAATAATATCTTGGTAGGAAAATAAATATGTTGGTAGGAAAAGTGGAATGGGACAATTTAAAAAAAAAAATCTTGCTTTAAGCAGAAATCCCTGTTTCCGTAGTGCTTAAAGGAAACTTCAGTTTTAACAAATGATCACATGACTTTGTGTGTGGTAGGGTGAGGGTTAGGAGGGCTTGTCATTGTTCTCCTGGTATTTCTCTGCTCTAATAGATATGAGGCCTGTGTCCTTCATGATTCTTTAGGAGACTGATGCCCTTTGAGGCTAGGACACATGGGGAAGGCATGAATATTGGGGGAAAGAGAATAGGAGAAAGAAAATGGGAGACAATAGAAAAAGGCTAACTGGGCTTCCCTGGTCTAGCAAGGGGTTAATATTAAGCACCGCACTGTGAAGCTGTCCGCAGCCTGTGCAGCTCAAGTTTGATCCCCAGCAGGCCAGGGAGCAACCCACATGCAACCTCTCCTGTCTCTCCTGCTGCTCCCCTCAGCAGTGTATTTCAGCCTGTTCTGTTCCCCACTCTGCGTCTGGTGAATTCTCTCACCCCCCCACACCTCTGGCCTGTACCCCAGTTCTTGTATGCATAAATAAATAAAAAAAACTTTACAAAAAGAAAAAAGCTAACTGGGCCTGCTATAGAAGGAGCCCAACGTTTTCTTCACTGCTGCTATGTTGGTGAACAGCCAGACATGCTGTTGAAAACCATGGTATGTAAGTATAGTTCACTTTGGGAAGTTTTGGTAGTAAATCTTTCTTCTACTTGAGCTCCAAAGGATGGTAATTCTCCCTCTAAAGCAAATTAGGATTTCCAGTTCTACTTTACTTAATAAATAACTTCTGTAGTCAGGTTGAAGTAAATTGGAAAAAGAAAATAATTGTTTTTATATCTACATATTGTGGTAATACTTTGCTTGGTGTGTAATAAAATATCCTGCAGGTTAAAATACATCTGTAACTCATCGCAATTTAGCTACTTGAGTGAGAAAAACCTTAATCTGCTGCCATCAAAGTTTATTTCCATTGTTAAGTTCTCCTTAAAAAATTGATGGATTTACTCTAATCAATTGGCTTTTAATAAAATTATTAAAAACTTGAGACATTCAAATATTTAAAAGACTCTTACCAAATTTAATTATATATTTTTTTAGTATATAGTTACAAAAATTTGTTTCTGAAGTTGGAAGAATGGCATTAACGTGTCACATATCTATTAATATAACTTTCCCTGGGACTATCCGTAGTATTTGTTATTGGTAAATAATTCACTTAGCTTATTAAAAACCTGATTTTAAAATCCCAATTCATTTCCTCCTTTCTTAGCTTTTCAGCTGCTCATACTTTTCATTTCACCTGCCTCTCTTATCCCTAGCAATTTTATCAGAGACCATATCTGAAAATTGTTTTTGTACTCTTTGGTGATCTGCATATGCAGTACCCTCATATTTCTTAGTTCTTAGGAAGACGGTGTAATTTTGGTGTTGCTCTGAATTCTTAAGACAGACTGGAAGATGATTTGCCTGATTCAATGGCTCTGTTGATGTTTTTATGCTGGTATAGTATTGTATGGTAAAGGGACTTACTTTTACTAATGAACTTAATGTTGTATATATAGACAGTGATTTATTATGATGCACACCTGAAGGTTAGAATGTTTGTTATTTCAATAAAAAAATTAAATTCAAATCCAGGCATATTAAATTCTTAGATGTGATCTGTAGACATAAGAATTTTATTTTTCCTAGCCTTATTTTGTCATTCTAATCATATATTTTAGTTGGTTAGTTGGTATAAAATCTAGCCTTTTTTTTTTTCCTTTTCCTTCTATGCTCAATATAAGATTTCTGCTTTTCCTTCCTTCTTTTCGTTCCATTGATATTGTGCCATTTGGAAGAGGCAGTTCTCTTTATTGGTTTGGCATGTTACATGAGGCAGCTGGGTTTGGGTAGATTGCTTGACTTGTTAACTGACATGATCTTGCCTTATCTAATTTTCATTTATAGGTTGGGGTACTTTTTAATTTTATTATTTTAATTTTAAAGTTACTGTTTTACTCCTATCATTTCCTATCTTACACATATGCTTAGGGAGCAGGTTAAAAATCATTTAAGGCTCTCAACTCTTGTTTTGCTTTGAAAAACACTTAATTAATCTTGTTAAATATCACCTTCATGATCATAATCATAACCTTAAGGGAAAGAGTGCCTTTTCCTTTGGCCCCATTTACTCACGGTAGGCGATCTTCTTAGTGCTGAGTATTTTCTTTCAGGCTAAATGCTAGAAATTCAGTACACAGTCATTAATAGAGATGACAGCTACAGTAGCATTCTGCTTATGAATATTCATGAAGCGAAATCCATAGCATTAATTACATTAATTTACATACCTGAATACAAGTGAACCATAAGTTAAAGTGATAGCTAAGCCTAAAAAAAGAAAAACCAAACCCTTAGTAACCATATATTGTATGTTTTGTTTTATAACTGCTACTTAATGAGGGCGGAGGTGACCTTTCTTTCAAAAGGCATTTAGGTATTTATAGTTAGAGATGTTTTTAGCTAAGAATTAAAGCATAGTATAATCCTTCAGTTTTCATAAGATTTTGTAGGACTTACAAACATTCTTTAAAGGCAGAGTGTATAAAGAAAATATATGTGGTTGAACACAGGAGAAACCTTTTAGGTGAATAAGGGAATTAATTAATGGTTACCTGATTCTTATGTGGAATCATAGCCTTTTCGTTTTGTGAATTAATTAAAGAATTTGAAAGGAGACATGATTAAAAATAAACTCATACAAATGAGGTTTATTTTCATCCTGTTTTGTGATCCAGGAGCTCCAATTTCTGAAAAAAAAAAAAATTTATGCATGTTTTCAGAAGTTAAAAATAATATGCTATGTGTTTAATAGGTAACATAACAGCCACAATAACTTTAAAAGGCTTGTAAACCCAGGCCAAAATGCCATGATTTGAATTTGTTCAAAATATGTTAGCATCATCTTTCCCTTGATGGTACAGATTGTGTTTATGTTTTCAACTATTTTGTTTTTGAAGCAGTATCAGAGTTAACTAGTTAACCTCACTGTGTTTAATCAACATTAAAAAAACTAACTGAAGCATAGCCAGTCAATATAATACTTTAATAAGATGATACCAAAAATGCTTCTACATTAATAAATGAAACAAAATTAAAAATCCATTTCATTCCACCTCATTCTTTTATAAGTTTTTGTCTACATTTAAAATGTATATTATATGTAATTTTACAGTATGTATTACTTAGATTTTTATATATATGATTATAGTGGAATATGCATATAATTTATAAGTAAAATCAAATACTGGGGTTAGATACTTAGAATATTTGCCTGGAGTGTTCAGTAATAATTAGTGGAGATTTTTGACTTAAAGAATAATGGAGAATGCAATGACGAGATCAGGACTATCTGCTTATTCCTCTGCTCACAGTGAGACCTTTGTAAAGTCACCTGTCCTGTTCATAGTATGGTCATCTTACCTTTTTATGTACACTGGACTGTCTGACAAATGAATATGGTGCAGTCTAACCGTTGGTGGCATTGCTGAGTCAGCGTTCTTCTGATGGTCTCACAGGGGCGTTTATTTGTAGAAGGCTGAAACACATCAGATGCTGAGGCTGCATGAGGGCCCAGGTCCTGAGTGGTTGGTAAAGTACTTTCATCTTTGGGAAAGAGCAAGTCTCTAAGCAATCTAAAATTAGTATTATTACACTGCTACTAATAAACTGTACAAAAAGTAGTTATCTTTTTGGATGGCACATTCTTTTGCTGTTCTGTGAATGAATCAAAATTAGACTTATACTCAAGGTTTTGCTAAAATATCCCAGACTTTCCTATTTAGATTTCTAGTAAAAATATCAATCTCAAATTAAATGGCGATCTTGTTATAGCATATAGACCAAAATTGACAGATGACTCAGTTGCTTGGGCTAACTCATTGATAGGAATAATAATGTATTCCCTATAAGATCATGAATAAGTCTTACTATGTATAATTTTCTGCTTTTTTCTTATGATGGTTTTCCCTATGTTAATTACCATTTTGGATGTAATATATGCTTTTACCTTATTGATTATAAGCCCTTGACTTTGTTTTACATGAAATTCTAATAATCGTAGGTATGTTGTTTCTGCAGTCCTAATAGATGAGAGGTGGCAAAATCAAATTGGAGTCTGTTGGTTAAAGATGTAATAGTTGTCAGACATGGGAAGATTGCACAATTGCATTAACTCTCCAAGCAGTAACTGACAGACATATGAATTTGGTGACTTTGAGTCACTAGAGATGGTGCATTGTAATCAGTATTCTCTGATTTATAATAAGAATTAAGATAGCTTTTGTACATTTTAGAAGGATATAAAAAATTTAAGTTAAAGAAGGGGAAAGAATTTTATACCTGAAATGTTTATTTTCCTGAAAGATTCACTTCTATAGATTGATAGTGTATTCCCAAATAGTAGCAGATAAATGAGGTGTTAATAGGCCTATAAAAAAATGGGAGTGGGAGGCGCTCTGTGACAATTTGGCTGTGTATGGTTTTTAAAAAATAATTTTTAAACTAGCTAGCTATCTTACAATCTTAAAATAACCAAATTGCGGCATTTTTCACTTACTATATGCTTTTCCAAAATTTCTTACATGTTTCTTTTTCTTCCCCACAGCAATCTCATGGTGTAGGCAGGCCTGTCTGGCTCCAGATTGCCGAGTCTGCTTATAGATTCACTCTGGGCTCGGTTGCTGGAGGTGAGTGACATGTCTATGTGCTGTTTCAAGCTTGTCTCAGTGTAATATTACCTCACTAGACTGGGACAGATCAGCAAAGGTGCAGTTCATTGTTCCCGTGGGTCACTGCTGCAGGGCTTTCTGAAGTGTTCTTTATTTTCACCTATGATCAGAGGACTTGTCATAGCACAGCCGTGGCCCCTCTGGCTCCAGTCTGTCTTCAGGACAAAACCTCTGTAATAATGTGAAAGTCTTGGGTGTAGTGCTGCACTCAACTTAATTATACTGGTTAAAGCCAATATGAAGAAATGGAGAACAAGACTGATTTATGGAATTGGGGGTAAGGACAGGTAGGAAATCAAGATTTGGGGTACAAATCCTATAACCTTATCAAATACAACAACCTCGCAAAGTGATTTGCTTTTGCTTTTCTGCTTGTAGTTCAAGAATATCCAGGCTTGTAGTTTATGTGATAAAATCCTCCTCCCCTCCCTGTTCCTGGCCAGAATTTGAGAGTCTTTTTTTTTTCTTCTCGCTTAAATAGTCTCTATAGAAAATGTGTAGAATCTGCTTTTTTTGAGAACAACCTAGCAGTTGTGATTAAAATATTTATGATTTTTCAAAACAAGTCTGACTGATGAAACTATTTTTTCTTTTCAGTATCAGTTTTAGAAGTTGCAAGGCATGTCTTGGTCTTCAGTAGTTGAAATAGAATACTCTAGATCATGTTATAAATTTTTTAGCCCATGAATTTTAAACCCTAGTCTTTTTTTTTCTGCTTTAACCAAATTATATACACAAAGGTAGGGTCATGTTGGGCCTCCCCGGTGGCGCAGCGGTTGAGCGCTGGGTTGCGAAGCTGCCCGCCACCTCTGCTGCGCTGGTTCGATCCCCGGCTGCTCCCCGGCCACTGGAGGAGGGTCCCACATGGCGCGCAGACCTCTCCTGCCGCCCGCTGCTCCCCTCAGCAGTGTACTTCGGTCCTTCTGCCTGCTCTGCTCCCCGCTCTGGCTCTGGTGAATTCTCTCGCCCTCCCGCTCTTCTGACTGTACCCAGTGCATGTATAAATAAACAAATAAATAAAAAAAAAAAACATGCCTCTATAAAAAAAAAAAAAAAAAAAAAAGTAGGGTCATGTTGAGATTTGTTTCCAAAATTATGGTTGTCGCTAAGATTAATTTACCAAAATTTCTTTTAAATTAAATTTATGGTCTCACTCATAACAGGAATCTAGAAAACTTAAATAAGGGACCAGGAAAATGAATAACTATTAGAAAGTGAAAATCAAAATCAACAAAAAACTATGAACCAGAGACACTTTTAGGGGGGCGGGGGCGGGAGGGGAGGGATTGGGGGGGCTGCAATTGTATGGGGAATATAACAATAAAATTTATTATTTAAAAAAAATTAATTAAATTTAAAAATTATAGTCATATATATGTATACCTCTATAGTCATTATAAGGATTAATGGATATAACATGAAGATGTTTACTGAGAAATGTAAAGAAATACCATATATAATGGTTTAATTTATAGAAAATTGAGTGCTGATTATGTAATGTTGGTGATGAGTTGAAAATACACCATAGTTGTTCCCAAAACAGCTGTGTTTGTGGATCCCAATGGTTGTTAGCCTGTCATTCTAAAGCTGAGTATGGGAGAAGGGGAAATAACAACAGTCTTTTTTTTTTTTTGAGACTAGTTTTATCTTCTTTGAGATGAGATTTGTTGTTTTGATAATTCTCCATTTAATTGTGCTCTCTTTTAAGCCTAAAAATTGTTCTATTTGTAGCTGTGGGAGCCACTGCAGTATATCCTATAGATCTGGTGAAGACTCGCATGCAAAACCAGCGTGGCACTGGCTCTGTTGTGGGGGAGCTGATGTACAAAAACAGCTTTGACTGTTTTAAGAAAGTCTTGCGTTATGAGGGCTTCTTTGGACTCTACCGGGGTGAGTAAGCAAATCTCAGCTGCTGAAATTAGTGATTTTTCTCTCATCAACAGAAGATTTTTAACTCTCACTATAAAAATCAATATATAGCCTGTCTGTTCACCTAGGGTTGTTTCTTCTTCTTCTTTTTTTTTTTTCTTGTGATACTTGTCTCTCTTTTAACATTTGTTGCTGGTAACTAGCAGTATTAGTCTTCAAACAAGCTCTTCATTTTCCTCTTCCTGCTGTTTATATTTCTTGGAATACAAATCCTTTTGTCCCAACAAGGTTCTGTGGTCACCATGCTCCTACAAACTAAGGCACATACATGTTTGCAGGTGGAATACAAGGACTACAGCTAAGAAACAAAGCTTCTTTTCTCAAAGAATTAGAGAGGATACAACACTTTCTGAAATAGAAGCTAGGCTGCCACTTGAAGGTGAGTTTAGGAATATCAAATGTTTTTTCTCTTCCTAGACATCTATTCATACATCTTTTTTAGTTAGTCACCTGAAATTTTAAAAAAAGGAAAGAAAGAAAGGAAAAAGAAAACCTTTGGATTCCAAGTCTCATTCTTGCTCCTTTCCTTCCTAGTGTAGAGGCACTGACTGAAAGCAAAGAGATTTTCTTTTGCGGGAAATGTTACCACTGACTCTAGCCTGAGCACAGAGCTGTCGGCGTCAGAGGCAGCAGCCCCATGTAGGATTTTCCCTGCCCGCTTGGGCTTTGTAGGAACTTGTCTTTTCAAGAGGGAATGACTTTCATGTACATGTTTTCACATTAGAATTTAGGGTTTCCTTTTGGGAGAGAGATTAATTTTTTAATCCCTTTGGGCGCCACTTGGAATTCTTTGAAAATACTCTCTACATGCACAAGTCCAGAGCATTTATGTAATTTACTGTACTTGTTTGTTTGCACTCACAGTTATCCCTAACTCATTCTGAGCTCTGTTGAACTGTTTGGCTTAGAATTTCTTCCCGGGAAGGAAAGACTGGGTCTGAACAAAGCTTTATGCTCATGGATAGGAGAAAAAACATAGCTGGTTGGCAAAATGTGCAGATATTCAAGTGAAAAATGTAGTTCTGATACACTTATATTTGAAGGAGAGGGTCATGTGGCTATTCATTTTGGCATTTTATATATAAAAGAGTGTATTCTGAATTCAATCTAGTCTCAAATACCCTGATCCCAAGAATAAGTGTAGTTTATTTTGTTCAACTGTTGATCTCCAGCCTATGTAAATTTCAGCTGTATGGCATATACTCCATTGTCCAGGCTGCAGATCCATGTTTCTGAATTCTAGTTTAAAGCTGTATTAAACCCTGCACATTTAGGGGCCTTCCTGGTGGTGCAAGGGGTTAGGACACAACCTGTGAAGCTGTCCACACAGCTACTGAAGCACGAGTTTGATCCTCAGCCAGGGAGATACCACATGGCACAGCAGACCTCTTCTGACTCGCCCACTGTTCCCCTCAGCGGTGTACTTCAGTTGATCTGCCTGTTCTGTTCCCCACTCTGTCTTTGCTGAATCCTCTCACCCCTGACACCTCTGTACCCCAGCCTGTACCCCAGCTCTTGTGTGCATAAATAAATAGATCTTTAAAAAAAAAAAACACAGCACATTTAGATTTTATGTAATAGTGAATCTGAGGGTTGAGTGGTGCTAAGGTTTTTCTTTTTTCCTTGACATCTTCATCTTTCTTTGTTGAATAATGTCCCTTCCTCCTCCTTGGTATACTTTTAAAGAAAATCCCCTCTATTAGAACAAACCTAGATATATACTGGCATAGTTTAACCTTCTCAATGGATGAATGCCTACATGAAATCATTTGAGAGAAATTTCATGTTAATAAAATGGGTCCAATATAGCAAGTTGGGAGTGGAAAGAGCAGGGGAATCGTTAGTTTTATTCAGGATGCAAACTGATAAAATCAGTTCTTTAAATGAGAGACTCTTGTATTAGGAAGAAGATTGTAGGAGTCCTGTATGTGAACACTATGATTATTGAGATTGTCATATATTGCTTAGAACTGGTCCATTATTCTGTCAGATGATTGACAAAATTGTTGACAGATTAGCCTAAATTTCTTTGCAGGCAATAATGATAAAATGACATAAGTCAGTACTTTATTAAAATTCCACGAGCCTTACTGAGGCAAGTTGTAAAACAAATACACATGCTGACATGGTTGTATGGGAATTAGATTAAAAGTAATAGGACCTGATAATCATGAAGGTTAGAAAGTTAAGACTGCCATCTGCTGATTTATTCTTTGAATCAGTCTGCTACCCATTAAAGGTGTGTGTGGATTTGTGTTTGTCATTGATAATTCAGTTTGACTGACAGTAGCCTGTATGTATGATTTCTTGCTGGCTCTCAACTCATAGAAAATCACTCAGTAGTATCCTCAAAGTAGGCTTAGATCAGCAGTGCGCTTGTAAACACATACATGGCTCCCCTTGGCTGGGTGATTTAAAGGCTCTAACATGTTTATTGTTAGCATCTTTTAAAAAGGTATGCAAAAAATGTATGCTATCAATTTGGATAATCTGTATGCTTTAGAAAGCTGAGCCCTGTGAATATTTACAGATGTTGAATTGTTTATTTATTTTTTCTTTTCCAGTTTGCATCCAGCCTGGGAAATTTAACTTTCTAGAAATGATTTCCTTTGTTTTATAGGGTGCTTTTGACATGTCTTAAATTTGACATGTATTAGTAAATAAGAATACAATAGGCATATTTTTTGCTTGTAGAAGATACCATTAACTGCTACTTAAAGCTGCATTTTTCTTTGCAGTTTTGATTTCCTTTTAAATAAATGAATAGTGAATTCTAGGTTTCTCTAAAGAGAAAATTATAGGAGTTAGTATTCTATGATAACCTACCCACCTGTATATTATTACATCAGTAGCATCATCTGTGGCAAAATCTGGGTCTGCTTAATACCTTGCTTGCAGAACTTTTCCATGCATACAGCATTGGCTTCTCTGAAGTGTTGATGTATGTTTGTATGCTGGTTGTAAAGGGAGGGGATTTGGTTACATTGCTATCTATTGGCAGTGTTTCAGGAAGAGAAAACACCAACGGTTCTGTTCCTTCCTCCTGTACTTTTTGAAAGATGTGGGATGACTAGGCTTTATAGGAAGCATGGTTACAAAAAGAATTTATAGCCTCAAGAAATCATAACTTTATATTGACATAAATAATAATTACATACCTACACAGTTTTTAGGATAATACATTTTCTTATTTTAATGAAAACCCTAAAATGTTTGATGGGTAAATAATATGGAGAAAACCTTTCCTTATTGGGCCTGAGTATTCATGTCTAGTACATCTAAATTGCTAATGATTTTCTCCATTTACCTAGGTCTGATTCCACAACTTATAGGGGTTGCTCCAGAAAAGGCCATTAAACTGACTGTAAGTTTCTTTTTTATTGAATTTATTCCATTTGTTTAGATTTTCATTAAACCAAAATATTAAAACTGATGCCATCAAGACTGGCACACTTATCGAGGCATTTGTAAAATTTAAAATATGTTTGTAGACATTTGAAAATTTTAAATTTTATTATTAGACGAACATTTTACTGACTTGGCAAACTGGTTGGGAATTCTGATTGAGTAATGTTGTCTTTCTAATTAGGTTAATGATTTTGTACGGGACAAATTTACGCGAAGAGATGGCTCCATTCCACTTTTTGCAGAAATCCTTGCTGGAGGTTGTGTAAGTAGTAATCCTGGATGTTTCTTGTGGCAAATATATGTAACTCTAAGCCTTTTGCACATTAGATACAATACCTGAGAGGCATTACCCCTGAACTCAAGGGATTCTAAGCAAATTTTCTCAGCAGTCATATGAAATAGTTTTTAAATTTCATTGCATAATTCAGCTGGTTTTGAGTACAGAAAAGAGGTAGTATATTTTTCTGCTTGGTCTCTTAGAAGGTCCTGAAATATTCCATACTCCTTAAAATTCTAATTTTGATTTGTAAGTATCACAGGAAATAGGGTAGTGGGTAGAATACCTTACTGGAACCTTTAAAAATGTGATATGACTGACTAGTCAGACCCTTATATTTTAGGTGTAGGACTGAGTCAGTCATTGTGATATAATTATAATATTCCTTCCTTAAGGACCAGAAGATAGAGCAAGCAACCATAACTATATTGAAGATATTGACAATTTTGATACAGAGATCCACGTCATAATAACTTTAAAGCACAAAGATTTTTGTCTTTAATGTGAACAGAATATTGGATTTAGACCAATTCTGAAATCTCAGTTTGTAGCTCAACTAATTTTATTTGTGGTGTTCATTTCACATTTGGTAATATTTTATTTACTTGAGATTTAATTAGTCCATTTTGTTTCTGAAAACCTTAATAACTTCTAGTTGAATTGGCTGACAGTCTTGGCTAAACCCTCCTCGGGTGCTTGTGGATCCTGAAGTGATGAGGTTAATGACCTTTGCAGCTTTTAATTCAGAGAAGATGCCCTGAAGGTCAGAGACTGGGGCTGCCCTGACTTCTTCTTGATGAGATTTGTCAGCCTGGCACATACCTGGGTCATCACTTTTCTGCAACCAAAGTTCTTATGGAAGAGGTGACTTGGGATTGCGTGTGTATGTGCACATGTGCGCATGTTTACGTGGCTGCCCAATTGGGTTCTCAGGAAGTAAACCTTTTTGGCTTTCTTTTTTTCATGAACAACAAATAATGGACATAGAATAAGACTTTTGCTTAGACAGACGGTCAAAAATATACTTTCTCTTCTTCCTTTACCTCATCTCTTTTGATGAGAGAAACTGAAAATCATAGTTTTTCTTTTTCATTGGTTTCAGTTTCAATTTCGTTAAAAAGTTCTCTAACTAAGTTTCGCCTTAGTACATGCATATGTTTACCAGAAATCTTCTAAGACGTGCTTTCTGTTCCATTAATTATTTAATTTCCATTTGTAATACTGTCTCCAGGAGACAGTAGAAAGTTGGATTTGTTTTCTGATCCTACCAAAGACTATATGCTTTTTGATTGGTGAACTTAGGTCATTTACATCAAGGATAATTATTGATGTGTGAGAGTTTGCTGCTGCCATGTTGGCTTTAGCTTTTTTTTTTTTTTAATTTAAAGATTTATTTATTTATGTATACAAGAACCAGAGCCAGAGGTGCAGGGGGTGAGAGGATTCACCAGAGAGAATGGGGAGCAGAACAGGCAGATGTACTGAAATACACTGCTGAGGGGAGCAGTGGGCGAGATAGGAGAGGTTTGCCATGCCATGTGGGTTAGCTCCCTGGCCAGCCGGGATCAAACTCATGCTGTAGTAGCTGGCAGTAGCTTGATAGCGCTGTCTTTTAACCCTTGTGCCACCAGGGTGGCCCTGTCTTTAGTTTTTTGATTCTATTTATTTCCTTGTTCAACTTTGTCAACTTTGTCAATTTTTTGTCAACTTTGTTCTTTTTGATTTAGATAGGAGTGCTCCTTTCAACTTTTCTTGTAGTGAGGACTATTATTGACAAACCCTTTCAGCAACTGTTTGTCTGGAAAGTCTTTATTTCTCTCTCATAATTGAAAGAAAGTTTTGTAAGATATAGTATCCTTGGCTGGTAGTTTTTCTCTTTGAGTATTTTGAATATGTCATTTTATTATCTACTGGCCTATAAAGTTCCTGCAGAGAAGCTGGATAAATGCCTGTGTGAGTACCTTTATAAATTTCCTCCTTTTTTTCTTAGCACCCTTCACCAATATAGGTGCACCCATATAGTTGGAAGATTTACTAATCCTGAGAGCCAAGATCTTTAACTAACTAGTTCACTATGCCATGTCTTCATCAGCAAGATGAGTTTGCACATCTCTAACGAGTCATTTATAAATAATTTCTCCAATTCTGTTCCCAGGAATCAGCATGGTCCTAACTTTAAGCTTACATACTTACATGTACACACATGAGGCTTGTATAAATATGCACACAAGTTAAAAGTTCTTACACATTTATGTTAAAAGTGCATTAAGACACGTATGCAGGGATTTTGACTCTTCCCTTAACTCCGCTTGGTGTATCTGTTCACATGCTCTCACATTTTGGCATAGGTCATCACTTAGCAATGAAAAATTTGCAGTTCATTCCTTTCAAACTATCAACCTGGGCCTCCCCTGGTGGCTCAGCGGTTGAGCGCTGGGCCGCTGGTGAGGGTCCCACAAAAAAAAAGAAAAAAAAAAGAAAAAAAAAGTGAATAAACTATCAGCCTGAGGCTGTTTTAAAAGAAACATGGCATTTTTTTATTGCTTTATAAAATATGTAAGAATGTTTGGTTAATGGTGTGTGTGACATAGTCATTGCCTCTTGAATCGGTACTAATTTTATAATTTTTATTAGTTTGGTTATTTTTAGTGCATGTATTTGTACATTTGTTCAAAAAATTGATGTGGCCCAAGTTGAAGTTAGAGTTTCATCACTCTCTATAAGGGAAGACTTTATAATGAATTGTTCAGGTTGAACATTTTGTGGTTGGAGGGAAATAGCTTCAAAAAATAGGAGACCACAGATCAAAGAAGGAGGAAAACAGGGACTTGGCACAAGTCTCTTTGTGTATTCTGCCCCTGGGGTAGGATTTTGAGGGCAGGAGGTTGAACAGGCCTAATCCTGTGTGCAGCCCTTTGGCCTCGGGCACACTCAATGTCACATCCTTTTTTCCCCCTAACTTTTGTTGTCAGCCTTACTTGGTTTATTTTTATTAAAAAAATATATCTGTGACCAAGATTAAGGGAAAGTTTTTCAATTTCTGTTGTATATGGTAACCCTCACTCAAAATGAGATTACTTTCTTTTATTGTATCTTTTGTCATTCAGTTCTGAAACCAACAAATGACAATATTAGAAAATGAAAGCATGTAAGTCAGTTTCCATATTTATGTATGCCTTCCTTTAAAACAATCAGCAGGGGTCAAAATAAGGGGGTTGTAATTGTATGGGGAATATAAAAATAAAATTTAAATAATAAAAAAATAAAAATAAAACAATCAGCAGATTTGAAGAGGACAATTTAGCAGGTTAGAGACTAATTTTATAGATTTGGTGAGTGAAAAATTCACCAAAAGTATTGTATGGGATGGTATGTTATCTAATATAAGCATTAGTACAAACAGCAACAAGATGTCAAATTAGACAGTGTTTAAGATTGTGCAGCTGTGTATCATTGTGACTTAACTTGAAATTGTATATATCTTGATGTCTATTTTTTTCAAATCACTGGCCATATTGATTAGTGTAGTTTGTTTTTTTTTTTATGTTTGTATGTAGATAAGCCTTTTAAAATTTTTGAATCCACAGATATATAGTGCTAACTAGTTTTTAAAAATGCATTTAAAGTATATAAATTACCAAAATTACCATGGGGAAGAATGTGTGAGAGAGAAACTAGTCTATATAAAGAAGCCACTATTTCTGAGACCAGTTTTATATCTTGTTTTTTCATGTGTGTTTTTTTTTTTGGTTTTTAAGTAGATAAGTCCATTCATATGATTCATAATTTAAAAGGTACATGGGATATGCTTTGAAATTCTTTTTCTTAGTTACTTATTTTTCTTTTCAGGAGGCTACCAATGTTTTCATCTCTCAGCCATTCTGATTTTGTTAAACTTAGGGAAATTTTGACATATTTGTCATGAGTGGATAACTAATATTTTATGTTCAGTTTATGTCACATTGGTATGAACTTATAACCTAATCTTATTGCTTAATAAAGAGCATCAGGGCCTCCCTGGTGGCACAAGGGGTTAAGCACAGTACTATGAAGCTATCCACAGCCTCTGCAACACGAGTTTGATCCTTGGCCAGGGAACCACCCACATGGCACAGCAGACCTCTCCTGGCTCGCCTGCTGCTCCCCTCAGCAATGTATTTCAGTACATCTGCCTATTCTGCTCCCCACTCTGTCTCTGGTGAATCCTCTCACCCTTCGAACCGCTGGCCTGTATCCCAGTTCTTGTATGCATAAATAATCTTTTAAAAAAAATAAGGAGCATCATAATTGTTTCTGTTTAACTATATATATCCTTATTGGGAATTTAAACTTTTTTTATTTTTAAGTTTTATTTATTTATGCTTATCTACTTATGTACATACAAAGATTTATGCATAAATAAATAAATCTTATGTATATATAAGATTTATTTATTTATTTGGCTTACACTGGGGTGTAAGCCAGAGGTGCCAGGGGGTGAGAGGATTCACCAGAGAGAGTGAGGAGCAGAACAGGCAGATCTACTATTTATTTATTTATGCATAGATTTATTTATTTATGTGATCGCTTGATAGTACTGTGTCTTTAACCCTTGCACCACCAGGGAGTCCTGTGAGAATTTTAAGTTTTTTTGTTTAATTTTGTTGCTTTTAAAATAATAGCAAGCATAAAAGATCTAGAACAGCATAAGCAATCCTGAGGAAAAAAAGAAACAGGCATTATGTTACTTGACTTTATACTATAAGGCAACACTAATTAAAACATTGTGGTATTGGCATAAATATAGATACATAGATCAATGGAACAGAATCAAAAGTCCAGAAATAGGGCTTCCCTGGTGGCACAAGGGATTATGCATCGCACTATGAAGCAATCTGCAGCCTCTGCAGCATGAGTTCGATCCCTGGCTGGCCAGGGAGCAACCCACATGTTGCAGCAGACCTCTCCTGGCTTGCCTGCTGCTCCCCTCAGCAGTATATTTCAGTCAGTCTGCCTGTTCTGTTCCCCACTCTGTCTCTGGTGAATCCTCTCACCCCCCTGCATCTCTGGCCTATACCCCAGCTCTTGTATGCATAAATAAATAAATCTTTAAAAAACCCAAAAAACAAAAGGCCAGAAATAAGTCTGTTTGTGTCTGTGTGTGTATGTGTATATATATGCCAACACTTAATTCTAGGTAAAAGAGCCATAGACATACAGTGGGAAAAGGAGAACCTCTTTAACAAATGATTTTAGGAAATCTAAATGGCCACATGTAAAAGAATGAAGTTGGATCACTCTCCGCCTCCATGCCCCCCCAAATTAAATTTAAAATGGGTTGAAGACTTAGATATAAGACCTGCAACAGTAAAATATGTAGAAGAAAATGTTGGTGATACTATTTATGACATCAGTGATAAAGATATTTTTGGAGACTCAACCCCTATAGCAAGGGAAATAAAAGCAAAGCTAAACAATTGGGATTGTCTGAAATTAAAAAAATATATATAGTGAAAGAAAATATGGCATATTAAAAAGACATCCTACTGCATAAAAGAAGAAAATACTTTCACATCACACCAACTGACAAAGGGTTAATATTCAAGATGTAGGAAAAATGTATAGTTAACAATAGAAAAGCAATCCAATGAAATAAATGGATAGCATATCTGAACAAGACAATTCACTAAAAGAGAGAATATCCAGAAGGCCAGCAGAGACATAGAAAATGTTCATCATGGCTTTTAATAAGGGAGATACGGGTTAAAACCACAATGAGATACCATCTCACACTTGTGAGAATGGCACATATTAAAAAAAACTCTAACAATAACTGCTGGAGAGGATGTGTTGGTGGGAATGAAAGCTGGTGCAGCCATTATGGAAAGTGGTCTGGATTTACCTTAAAAAATTGGAAATGTCATATGATCCAGTAATCCCACTCTGAGCAACTATCCAAAGAACATGAAATAACTAAAAAAATTACATGCTCTGCAATGTTTATTGCAACATTGTTTACAATAGCCAGTCCATGGAAACAACATCACTGCCTACTCATAGAAGATTGGATCAGGAAAAGGTGGTATATCCACTATAAAGCCCTAAGGAAAGATAAAATGTTGTTATTTACAGCAAAATGGAAGGTGTTTCAAGGGACTTATGGGCAGGAAAGCAAGTCAGAATGTCAAAAGACAAATATTGAACATATATATGGAGGACAATTTGAAAAAACAAAATACTTACAAAAACTAGCCGACACTAATAAATGGAGTGAGATTTCTGAAGTTAAGGGTAGGGGAGGGAGAAAGGGTCAAAGGGATATAAAGGATGGTAGCAGGGGGAAAAGAAATATAGAAATCACATCTATCACATATACGTAATGACAAAATTACCATATTTGTAAAAATGCATGTATTTTAATTGGAAAATTACAATGTTTTATTTCCCAATTTAATACTTCTGAAATCCTATATATGTAATGATTATATGTAATGTAAGCAATATTTTTTTCCCTGTGAAAAGCTATTATTAATGATAACAACTCTAGTTAGTAGAGTCTTACTGTTGAGGGAAAATGAGTGTTTCAGAGAGGAAATACTCAGTTAAGGCTATGAGAACGTTATAATCCTGTGTCACTAGATTTTTTACCTGAGTGATTAAATTAATTGCAGTTTTTCTTTCTTCCTTTCCTTGTCCCCAGTATGTATGAGGTTGTGGCCAACCTCAGACTTTAAAAAAGTATTTGCCATGTATGTTTCCTCCAAAGTTTAAGACAAATTAAGCAGCAATCTGTATTTTTTCTAAAATTATTCAGTGTTTCTGATATAGTGTTTGCATATCCTAAGGCCTATTATTAAGTTTTTTAAAAATATGCATTCATTTTAAAGCAAATATAGATTATGCAATTGCTGGGAGTTTTCCTCCTTCAAATATAGTACAGTACACAGGTTGCAACAGGCTCATAGATGTATGCCTTGCCATAGTGTCATAGCTGTTTACATGTTCACTTTTCAGATTATATATATAAAATTTTATAGTTATGTTCAATGCACTATTGGGACAGTGTATTTTAAAATGTAGTCATTTCCTTCTCTTATTTGTACAGTTTTAATAGAGAATTTATTACTTGTATACTCAAAAAGATAAGAATTGGTAAAAGAGTATAAATCTCAATGAACTGGCAATTATTTCCAAAGCAGTCTGTGAGAGGAGGGCTGGGAGGCAGGGGCTGAGGGCTGGGATACTCCTGCTCTATGTACTAATGATTCAACGTTGTATTGATTTAAACATAGTCTCCACATTTAATGAGTAGCAGCCAGGGCCTGACATCTGGTGGTGGCAAATTTTGAAAATTATAATGAAAATATGTGGTTTTATTCCTTTTTTTCCTTTTAAATCTGCTTTAGTTAAGCACATAACGCATATTTTCCTAAAGATAGTCTTTGCAGCCATTATTTAAACAAGAGGTTTGGTAGTAGTTTGGTTAAGCATTCTTTTTTGCTCCTCTACTAGTTAACAAATTTTAAATGAAAATACACTCCCATGGGTCTCCCTGGTGGCGGAAGGGGTTAAGCACCGCACTATGAAGCAATCCACAGCCTCTGCAGCACAAGTTCGATCCCCTGCCAGGGAGAAAAACCCACATGGTGAGGCAGACCTCTCCTGTCTTGCCCACTGCTCCCCTCAGCAGTGTATTTCAGTCAGTCTGCCTGTTCTGTTCCCTACTCTGTCTCTGGTGGATCCTCTCACCCCACCCCCTATCTCTGGCCTGTACCCCAGTTCTTGTGTGCATAAGTGGATGGATCTTTAAAAAAAAAAAAAAAAAGAAAGAAAGAAAAAAAGAAAAGAAAATACACTCCCATTATCCAAATTCAAATCTCTGTCACTCACTGTTGGCTGTGGGGTTCAACTCAGGGTAACGAGATGTTCCATTTCTCAGTTCTGTCTCAGAGAGTTTTTCTGGTTTTGCTTGAAATGATACTGAAATTGCCATTCTGAATTCTGCCCTTTTGTGTGGGTGTAACTGTGTATCTGTTTTGGAGTTTTGCTCAGAATTACATTTTAGAATTTGAAGCAGAGGAAACTTCCCCCTTGTGACTTCTGGTCTATCTGTGAGGCAAAGGTGTGTCAGTTGCTGCTATACAATCCAAGGAGGCCAAAGCAGGTGGCTGAGCTAAAGAAAATGGTTGCTTAGCATAGCAAAGATACCACCGTACATCTGAAATTTAGCTTCAGCTTAAAAGATATAAACCAGTCTTCTACCATCTTCTAAATTTTCATTAGGCCCTCCCCATTGCTACATCTGGCTTCACTTTTATTTTTCAAGTGAGTTTATAGTTTTACCATTTTGGATATGGCTGGGTTGACCCTGGAAACAGTGTGTGAAAATCTCTTGACATTTCATATAGAAGTAAATCCAGGCACAGAGTTTGGGACCATCCTGTGAGCCCCTCCAGCACTGGACAAAGCATCAGGCTCTCATGTAAAGTGGTACCTGTGGAGGCTTCTCTGAATGTTTTCTTGCTTAAACTACCGGCTCTGATACAGAAACCTGCTTTTGTCTCTTCTCCCTTTCCTGCAGGCTGGCGGCTCTCAGGTCATCTTTACTAACCCACTGGAGATAGTAAAGATTCGCCTTCAGGTAGCTGGAGAGATCACCACAGGGCCCAGGGTCAGCGCCCTGAATGTGCTGCGGGACTTGGGACTTTTTGGTCTGTACAAGGTCAGTAGATTCTCTCCAGTTATCTCAGTAGAGAGGTTGTAATATACTCAACAGAAATGTGAAAGAATGTGGAAACCACACTTCTCCCACCCCAAATGGAAAAGCAATCTTGTCCAGCAGGGTAGTCCCTGGAATAGAAAATCAAACAAAAAAGAAAAAACCAGGACACTTCTATTAGAGGCAGTGGGATGCGCAAACATGCCTTCTAGTTGTCATCTCAGGCTTTTATGAAGCTGCCGGCAGGGAGGCCAGCACCACAGACCTGCTGGCTTTAGGCTCACAGCCTTTTATATGGTGGCAGGTTTGGGGAAAAGTTTCTTTGGTTTTTTTTCTTTGGGCTAGTTTAGGACTTCAAAATAATCTTATGTTTATTTTGAGTCTGTTATCTCTATTGTTATCTTCCCAGTAGGAGCTTCTCTTTGTCTTAATAATTTGACCACAGTGAAACAGTAGTAGAGTTTGGTAGGATTCAGATCTTTAAGAAGTTAAGTGGTGGGATTTGTCAATAATGAATTCCATTTAAGGAAAAAAAAAAAATAGAAAAAACAGTGTACTGTACTTTAGCAAAATGCCAGTCAACAGATTCCTTCCCTGCAGGTATACTTACTCCCATCATTACAGATCAGATGTAATGGAGCAGAAGCTATTATTTTTCTTAAACAAGGAAGAGTTTTTTCTTTCCATTCTTTGGTCTGGTGTAAGGGGAGAATACGTAAATTTAGCTGCTATAGGCAACTGTGTTCCCACAGCATCTGATATTTATAGATCCATCACTGTATAAATGTGTAAATTGGCTTCTGTAACTGCAAATTAGAAATTAGAAATTCTCTAGATTAGAATCACGCAGCTCCTAAGCTCTTAGGAGACCAGTAAACCAGTGATGCTGAGCTTGAGAGAGTTTTGTAGACATTCCCTTCCCCAGTTTCCATCATTTTTTGGAAATCCCTTGGAGAGGTGAATTTATTAATATTCTTTTCCATTTCATTCTTCAGAGAGTCCCTGGGGTTTTGTTTTTGTTTTTCTAATGTTTGAGTTTGTCTTTTAAAAACAGAAAACCCTTAGGGAAACAAATGCCAAAATTGGGGTATACTGTCTAGTAAAGCCCTGGGCGGTAGAATAGTGTGGGCCACTGCCCAAACTGAGGACAGCGCTCATTGCCACCTCACTCACTGAGACTGGCTGTCCTGGGTAATTTTCTACTCCCGTGCCAACTGTCTGCTGAAATATTTTGGCTGGGTTCCCCTGGATCCTCTGCTATTTAGGACACAGGGAATGAGGAGGATCTCCCCCCTTGCCAAATAATCACTTTCCTTTTCTACTGCTTTGACCATATAACTTCTACTTGGCACTTCAGGGGTTCTAAGCTGGTCTGCATTGGATTGGTAGTTTAAGTTTTGGGGCTGCCTTTAATGGTTGCTTGAAATCAAGCTGTTAATCTTGGGGTTTGATTTCTATTCCCATCTTTGTCTCCCTCCCCACTTCCCTCTCCATATCCATCAAAACCAAATAGAACAACCTGGAGGTTTGAGAGTTGAATTTTTATTAACCTAAAAAACTTCATCTACAGTGAAAGTGCCAAAAAATTCTTAGTTGTCAGAACTTACTCTCGGACTCCAGGATCCACCAGCTTTTCTCTAGCATTGAGCCATGTCTGTTTCCTGTACCCCACAGTCCTCCCCCTTTCCCGTCCACGTCAGTCCACTGCTGCTTGAGGGACACCTCAGACTCACCATCTGGATCTCTCTTGGGCATTCATACCCTGTTTACACAAATGTTTTACACTATTTCCTCACTGTGTGACAGGGTGCCAAAGCGTGTTTCCTCCGAGACATTCCCTTCTCTGCAATCTATTTTCCTGTTTATGCTCATTGCAAACTACTTCTGGCTGATGAAAATGGACGTGTGGGAGGTTTAAATCTCCTTACAGCTGGAGCCATGGCAGGTAACTACAATTTTTTCTTAAACTGAAAGAATCCTACCCCCATTCTCTTTAAGAAGTATAGAAGTTCTCTGTACTTACCTCTTTATTTCTAGAAGGGTTATTGTTTGTATCAGACTTAGCTTAAATATGATTGCCTTTTCTCCTTTGTGGGATGTGCTGTAATTCTGATGAGAGTTAATTACATTTGCATAATGTGGATAAACAGCTTAATGCAGCTTAGCAACTCAGAGCCAAATTAGATCTGCCCATCTAAATTGGGCTTTCATCATTAACGTGTTTCTTAGCCCCCTGTGCCCCCGAAACCTTGAGTGCAGCCAAGCTAAGGTTAAGGTGGAAAAGTCCTTCATCAAATCAGTTGCTTTGTTGCACCTTGTGCTGATGCACAGGTCTCGCATGCCCTTCTATTTCTGTATGTTGGACTCTACAATTTCAGTTAAAATTGAAATTTTTTCATGAAGCTGCCCCTGTTCCTTTTACTGTCATCCTCATTAATTCAAAGTAAGCAATACTTCCCCAACAAACCATCCTGAACTCAATTGGCATCTCTTCTGGTTCATATACTTCCTGTCTTTTATTAATGGTTGTTGTCTGATCTTCTGTACTCAGCAGAGAGCTCTTCGAGGGCAGGAGCATCATCTTAGCCTTCCCTCCATGGTGACCATAGTAATAGCAGACGCTCACTGTGTGTGTGTGTGTGTGTGTGTGTGTTGTGGAGAGGATGTATGGGAGGAGCCTTTGACCCTGAGGGTCTGGGGTGACCATGTAATTGTTCTCGCCTATGAAGACAAGGAGTGACTTGTGATGATTAAGAAACTCTCCCTGGGAGCTAATTGCCCTTATTTGGTCGAGCTTCAGCAAATCCTTGTCCTCTAGTTTTTGTAACTTCAGTCCACTGCACATTTGAAAACCAGCAAAGTTATCTGCTCTGTCTTGGCACTGAGTGCTCATCCAGCCCCTTTCTGGTACTCACCAAGGTCTCCCAGTTTTACATGGGGACCAGCATATTTTCCTTCCAACCTTTTCTCTGCATTTTCCAGTGGCAACCAAAAACAGCCAAAGAACATTCATGGGTGGGCATTTTGCCAGTGGTTGATGGAATCAAGTAAACATTCCTAAAGAACTGTAGCAACAACTTCTTGTTTACAGATATTTGCTGTCAGTTTTTGGAATAAGAGATGAATTTTCTAATTTTTACCAGTAAAGAAGCTTTGTTGGCAGGCACTGAGAACATTGAGAATTCAGAACATAGGAAGGCAGGCAATTTACCTAGTTTCATCTGAATAAGGTGCAGAGTCCTGTGGAGGGGAGGTATTTGTATCATTCTCTAACAGAGCCCCCCACAAGTCCACAAGCCTCCATCTGCCTAGTGATCATTCAGTGATATTCAGACCAAATTGAATTTCTTCCCCCGGGGGTGGTTATGTTGCTCTTTTGTTCCCTGTTTTGTTTTATAAGTAAAAGGTGTGGTTGTGAAATGGTCTGTGTGCCCTGCTGCCTATCAATCTCAACATGACCCCAGGGAGCTTGGGCTCAGGGAAAGGATGATACGGTCTTTTGATGATCCCTTCCCCTGTTGTTCCTTAGCCGGTAGGCTGGTCTCGGCTCTAGTGGTAATGACTTCTGTCATATGAGCATGTGTGAAAGGCATCACAGTCAACTCTCAAGTCAGCTCCTCAAACAGGCGAGTGGATATTAGTATTGAGAGTCATCTCACACAGTAAGGTGACAAGAGTCAGAAAACAAAACAAAATGAAACTAGTTTTGTGTCAGATACATTTACTAGCCCATCCAATTGATAGGATCTCCATTTCTTACTACACATGAAAATCTTACGTAAAAAACAAACAAAAAAGGATGTAAAATAATTGAAACCTAGAGGGGAACACTTGGGGATCATCCTCATACTGCTGTCCTTTTGTTTCTTCACAGTTCCTTGGAATCATGCAGTGTAGAATGATTTTCCTAATTCAGAGAGAAAAACAAGAATTTTGCCTTGATCACACTATCACAGCTAATTGATACATATATCCTATTTTCCATTAGTGCCCAGGCATCTACTTAAGAAGCTCTCAATTAAAGCAGTTACAGTTGCTAATTGTGTTGTTAGATGTTAGTAGTTCTATCTTTAATCAGGTGCTTTGGGTAAATTAAATGTGCCTTTCTCCGGAAAGGTGTGCCTGCTGCATCTCTGGTGACCCCTGCTGACGTCATCAAGACAAGACTGCAAGTGGCCGCACGCGCTGGACAGACTACATACAATGGTGTCATTGACTGTTTCAGGAAGATACTCCGAGAAGAAGGGCCCTCAGCATTCTGGAAAGGGACTGCAGGTAGGGGTTGGGGACATATGGGATGATTGGCTGGCGTTAGGTCCTGCTTCTGTTACTTGCTGGTTGTCTTTGCTACAGTCATCCTGGTGTTAAGTACTCCCTCTTGCTCCGTCTGTCTTTTGCAGCTCGTGTGTTTCGTTCCTCTCCCCAGTTTGGTGTTACTTTGGTCACCTATGAACTTCTTCAGCGGTGGTTTTATCTTGATTTTGGAGGCCTGTAAGTATTGCAGTTCAACTCTTATCTAAGGAAAACACCCAAACCAAAACAAGTCTTTGTTTGGCCTACAAATGCCCCTTTGGAACTCTTACAGACCAATGCATTTGAAACAAATAGTGAACTTGAGAAACCTCAGAGTTAGTAAGACAGGGTGACATCATGTACATGTGGTATTTACCCAAGTGGCTACTTGGGTAAAGTTTTAGGGAAGCAGAAAGTTAAAATGTTAAGTGAATAATTGTCCTTTTTGATGTAATGGATTTAGGTCCTATTGTGGAGATTATTAAATGGCCCCATTCAACAGAAGTAATGTAAATTTGTATTAGTAACAGTTTTGTGAGCTTTCAAAGACTTAATCAAGCCCTTTCACACCTCCCAGATTTTGATATTCATTATAATTTATTATTAGATAGATATAGATATTCTGAAAGTTAATTTATCGCAAAAAGAAAAAAGATTCAAAGAGAGGTTATGCTCATGGATGTAATCACTGGTGAGATGCAGGTCTCTTCAAGATTGAAGCTTAGGACTTAATCTTGTGCTGGAGAGAAGAATTACTTATTGAATTTGCTCGGTGGGAAAGGTTGTACCCAAAGCAAGCAATAATCAGCCTTTCAGCAAAAGTCCCATATTTGATCCTTACTTCATAAACCTGTGAAACCCTTTTCCACTCAGAGACCAAGTAGGGGAATTTGCTGCTGAGCCAAGGGACTTAAAGAAACTAAGAATAGCAGTCTTAGAATTCTGGGCTTTTCTTTTCTAAGAAAATAAATAAATAAATAAACAAACAAACAAATAAATAAATAAATAAATCATCCTCCCCGCCCCCACAAAAGAATTCCAGGCTTTCCTATGTTTTCACATTTTATAAAAGTATAATGAATCTATTTCCCTTTATATAATTTTTACTAATAACTTCGTGAGTCTACTATTTAAATTTTTTATAGTTTATGTAAAATTAAAAAATACAAACTTCTAATGATTTATGCAGAGTGTAGAAATTTTTGAAAATAGAAAATCATAATCCTTTTTCCCAGAGGACATTGATATTTGAGTGTATTTTCTTCTAATCTTTTTTCTGTTGTTCTATTTATGTATGTACGTGAACATTGAAATTGAGGTCATTTCTCTTCTAAATCAAATGTGTGAATATATTGCTTTCCCCAAACAGCTATAAATCATGACTAATGCAGCATAGATGACAAGGAAATGGTTGGACAAACACCCTTCTTTGTGGCACATGACTGAAAACGTTCAGTCGTGTGTCATCCTCATCAGCCTTGAGCACACTAACCATGGTTTTTTTCCTATCAACAGCAAACCCTCTGGCTCAGAACCAACACCTAAGTCACGCATTGCTGATCTTCCTCCTGCCAATCCCGATCACATTGGTGGATACAGACTTGCCACAGCCACTTTTGCGGGCATTGAAAACAAGTTTGGCCTTTATCTCCCCAAATTTAAATCTCCTAGTGTTGCTGTGGTACAGCCAAATGTGGCTGCAGCAGCAGCTCAATGATGAGACGACCATTTAGTGTGGCAAAATGGCGCCCTGAAGAGGCTAGGAAAGCAGTCCTGTAATGTGTCCAGTCAGCTGCATGGTGCTGACTGAGCTGAGGAGTCAAACTATTCTTTCTATATGACATATACATATATTTGTTTATAAAGTAATTGTTTGCCCAGGAAAAAAAAAACACAACGCAGTTTCAAGCTTTAGTCTTACGTGTTGAAATGTTTTCTAAGCCTTGGCATGAATTAGTGTTCTAGACTGCTTTGCACAGCTTGCACTTATAGTGACTGTACATATTGTACATCTTTGTACAGAAACATCTTGGCACCTCATCCCAACAAATCACATTTATAGAATGTAATGCGGTTCTGAGTGGCTTGAAATGTACAGAATGTTTTGAAAGTGTTTTATTAAGAATCACATAAAATAAATGTATTAAAATTAAATTCATTCTCTTATTGGTGACTTATGGAAATAAAGCATCAATATTGGATGTATTTAATTCCTAGCTTGTTTTCCATTCTGGAATAAAAAAGGTATTTGCTGACAAGAAGCATAATGAGACCTAGTACTGACACCACTGAATAAGAGATCCTTTGGGAAAAAATGCATGCCAGTGGATGCCAGAGCACCAGGCTAATGACTTGCGTGTGCTGATGTGTTTCCATTTGTATTTAACGTGTATAGATCCTCCTCTGTTCATCAATCAAAAGGCATTTCCTAGACAACCCTTCTTTTGTCAGTGTGTATATGGAAACAGGAACTTCTGCCTCTAGAATTACTGGCTTAGTTTTGCTTTCTTCTGACTCGGCAAGGCAATGGCCCCCCTTTCAAAAGAGTAAAGGATACTTTGGCAATTTTCATTCATGGCTATGATTCCAATCAAAAATAAAATACACACCAAAATGTATGCATGTAGTTGGATTTTCCTTCGTAATTATACTGATAGTACTTTTCATTTTTACTCACTACCAATTCCAAATAACTCATGATCAGCTTTCCCACTTTGACATGAAATTGTTTGGTTTGGAAGGACTATCATGGAACCAGGGGAGGGAAGAAGAAAGAAAAAGCTCTACCATGTGATTTAGTGGGATCTAGATTCTTCCTTGTGAATCTAAATACAAACTACTTATTCTAAAAGTCACTTGTCAAGGATATGATTACTAATTTGGATCTAAACATGCATCTTGACAGCCACATCTACACTTTGCTATGGTTGTGATTTGATGTGTAGCATCAGAATTTATTTACTTTAGCAAAGTGCTTTGGGAAAACATTACTGCTATTGCCTATGAGCCAGAATATGAGAATGTATGCAAATATTTTCAGGAGCAAGCCTACAGATGGACCAAGTCACTTAGTATCCTATACAGCATTCATCAGTTGATGGCTGACTGCCCATAACACAACTAGAGGCCCTCCAGGAACAAAAGAATTAGCTTTGAAAGCAAGTTATTTCCAAATGTATTAGGTTGTTCTCATTGGAATGGAATAAATAGCAATCCAGTTGTTTTGTTATTACCACCTGTTAAAAATACACAAGTAGTTCATGGATATGTTCTTACAAAAGACTCATAGAACATATATGTATATAGACTAAGATGTGAAAGTGTCCTTTTTACCCAGCTTCTCCCTTCAACACCCTGTGTGCCAGAGGCAATCACTGCTAACAGGTTAAACTATAAATTTGTTATCTTTTCCACAATTTCTCTATATAAATATATGTACATATTTATATTTTAAAAACAGGATTATGCTATGTATATGTTCTGTGACTTTTTTGTTCACTTACTATTTGACAGATTTTCTTGTCAGTTCATAAAAATTTTAATTTTCATAGCTGCATACTATTCCCTTGTATGGATTATAATTCTTTACATAAATACTCCCTTACTGACAATTTATACATTTTTTTCACTATTGCAAACAACACTATAGTGAACGGTAAACATCTTTGTACATACGTTTTGAGTACATATGCTAGTATTTCATTTGTATATTTAAAATTGTAATTGATTTCACAAGACATATGTATGACATATTTCTATATGGTGCCTTCAAAGAGGCTTTATTAATTTACTTTCCTACTGACAGCATATGAAAATGCCTATTTACCTGCAACCCTGGCAAAAGTGGATATTGTCAGTCTTTTACATTTTAGGTAAATCCTGATAGGTGATCACTGTTTTTAATTTTCACTTTCCTAATTATTAGTGAGGTTGAATGTCTTTTCACATTACTGGCCATTTATGTATTTTCATGTGGGCTATATAGATAATACTTGGAACATTGTATACACAGACATATATGCACTTATATATTTTAAATAGTCATAAAATGAATATACATGTAACCACCCAAGTAAAGAAATAGAATAATCTATCTTTAACACATCAGAAGTACTCCCACAATTCTCCACCTCACAAATCCCTTCTCTCCTCTTAAAGACCATCCCTACTCTTCATTTCTTGCTCTTGGTAGTTTTATTTCCCGTAGATACATCTGTAAACATAAAATTTAGCTCCTATTCTTGAAATTTCTATAAATCAAGTTATATTGTATACTTCTGAGACTTGTTTCTTTTGGTCAACATTATAAGATTCACTTATAGTAATATGTAACTGTAGTTTGCTTATTTCATTGAATGACTATACAGCAATTTATACATCTGATTCTGGACATCTGAATTTCCAGTTTGGGGATATTACAAATAGTGCTGCTTTGGATATTTTGTAAGTGAGTGAGTATGCATTTTCTTTTAAAATACCTAAGAGACATATACCTAAGAGTAGAACTACAAAGGTACCAGTTTTGTTAGATTCAACTTTGCTAGGTCCTGCCAAACTCTTTCCCAGTCTTGTGACTGATTTACATTCCCTCAAGGGTGTATTGGACTTTTAATTTTGAGCAATCTGTTGGTATATAATATTATCTCATATTTTAATTAGTATTTTCCTTACGTCAAATGAAACTGGATACCTTTCATATGTTTATTTGCTATTTGAATATCATCTTAGGTGAGTATATTATGTGTTAAAGTCTCTTGTCCATATTTCTCATTAATTTTCAGGATATATATATTTGTATATGTGTATATTTATATATATGCAACACACATACATATATATATATATACACACATATACTGGATACTCATGAGTTCTATTACAAAACTTCCCAATTTGTGGCTTAATTTTAATATGTTCAAATATATCAAATTTTCCTTTATGGTTAGCATGTTTTATATTTCATTAAAAAAAATATTCTCTCTCCAGGGAATGACTGTAGTTGACATTTTGTTCTTTATAGTTTTATAGTTTTCCTTCTCATATTCAGATTTCATCCTATGAACCTGAACTGCCTTTGGCATATGGTATGAGAGTGTCCAAACAGTGTTTATTGTAAAGACTTTCCATTCTTTTTTTTTTTTTTTTTTTTTTATAGAGGCATGTTTATTTCTTTCTTTGTTTTGTTTGTTTGTTCTGTTTACACATGCACTGGGTACAGTCAGAAGCGCGGGAGGGTGAGAGAACTCACCAGAGCCAGAGCGGGGAGCAGAGCAGGCAGAAGGACCGAAGTACACTGCTGAGGGGAGCAGCGGGCGGCAGGAGAGGTCTGCGCGCCATGTGGGATCCTCCTCAGGTGGCCGGGGAGCAGCCGGGGATCGAACCGGCGCCGCAGAGGCCGCGGGCAGCTTCGTAACCCAGCGCTCAACCGCTGCGCCACCGGGGAGGCCCAAGACTTTCCATTCTTAGGAATATACAACACACCTAGGATGTGTGTATGTGTACATACTCTTCAGGTATATGATATATTTGGATGCTATCATGAATTATATCTTAAAAATGTTCTTGGTATACAGGAATATAATTGTGTTTTCCCCACTTCTTATTTAATAAAATTTCAACCCTAAAGAAAGCTTTGAAGAGGTAAAATGAACTCTTTGAATACCTTTCAACTAGATTAACCTATTACCCCTTATTTTTATAAATACATACACATTTATTTTTGCTAAACCATTTGAAAGTATGTTGCAGACATCTTGGTAGTTCCTCCCTAATTTTTTCAGCATGTATCTCCTAAGAATGAAGATATTCTACAAACAAACATTATCAAACATTATCATTATCACAGAAAATTTTCATTATCTAAAAACAAAATCAGTAGTTCATACAGAGACTGATATTCAGTCTAAATTCAGTCTTCCCCAGTCACTCCAGAAATATCTTTGTTTCTGTGGTGCAGAACTTAATCAAGATTGGTGCTTTATGCTGGCAGTTGTATATCTTTAGTCTTTCATTTTAGAATAGTCTCCATTTTGTTTTTATAAGTTATTTGTTTTACAGAATGCTTCACATTGTTTATCTAGTTGTGTCCTCATGGAATTGTCTAACTTGTCCCCTCATGGAATTGTCTAACTTGTCCCAGTATTATAAAGTGAAAATTTAGTTTTTCTATTTAACAACTTTACTGATAAATTTTTTACAGAGTATGTAAGCAACACCACAATTCTGTTTTAGCATATTTCCATCACCTCAACTGTAAATGTGTCATTTATTATATTCCCACAATAATGTGTGAATATTAGTTTCTCCTCATCATCACTGTATTATTGTCTATCTTTTATTATAGTTATTCAGTAGATGCAAAGATATGCTACATCGTAGTTTTAATTTGCATTTTTCTAATGTTGTATATCTTTTCATGTGTTTATATACATTTGTGTTTCTTTAGGTTTTTTTTTTTTTTTAACCTGTTTTTAAAGTGGTTTCTTTTTTTAATTATTGAGTTGTAGGAATTCTTTGTACATTTTGAATGAGTCTGTATATCAGATTTGTGATGATTTTTCTCTCAATGTTTATTGTGTTTCTTGAAACAAGTTTTAAATTTTAAGTCCAATTTATCATTTAAAAATTGTAGGGGTCATGCTTTTGGTGTCATCTAGAAACTGTGCCTAAGCAAAGGAAGGGGAGGAGTTTCTCAAATTTTTAAAATCTTATTTCTTATGTTTAGGTTTGAAATCCATTTTAATTTCTATATATGCTGTGAAGGGTCTAAATTCATCTTTTTATATATGGTTATCCAACTGTCTTAGCACCATTTGTTGAGAAGGCTGACCTTTCCCCGCTTAAATGCTTTGTTGCTTTCATAAAATATGAATTGACTATACATGTAAGGGTCTATTTCTAGATTCTCACTTCTGTTCCATTCATCTACATGACCATACTTATAGTTTGTTAGTTTCTACAAAATAAAGCAGTTGGTATTTTGATAGGAATTTTGTTGAATCTGCAGATCAATTTGGAGTGAATTGTCATCTTAACAATTTTGAGTCTTCTAGTGTATGAATTTGGAAACTATTTAGTTCTTTGAAAATTTCAACCATGTTTGTAGTTTTCAGTGTTCAGGTCTGGTACTATATTCATTAAATTTACTACTAAGAATTTTATCGTTTGTTACATTTGTTTGAGTGGAATTTAAATTTTACTGTTTTGATAGGTGGGTTTTGTTTTCTATGTCATGTATTTTTTTTTTTATTCATTTCTTCCTTCTCTACTGGTTTTATGTAAAAGTTAGTTGGCAGTAATCATTTAAATTTCTTTCTCTTTATTTTTCAAGAGCACTTTTAGATTCACAGCAAAATTAAAAGAAGGTATAGAGATTTCTCATGTACCTCTTACCCCCATACATGTGTAGCTCCCATTATCAACATCCCCACCAAACTGGTACTTTTGTTACACTCAGTGAACCTATATTGAGATACCATAATCACTCAAAGTCCATAGCTTACATTAGGATTCACTCTTGGTATTGACAGATATGTGATGACATATGTTTGTTCTTTGTTTTCCTATTGTTTTAAGTGTTCTTTGTGTATTTTGAATAACAGTCCTTTGCTGGATGTGGCTTTTGCAAATATTTTCTTCCAGTCTGTGGCTTATCTTCTTATTCTTTTGACATTGTTGTTAACAAAGCAATTTTTAATTTTAATGATGTCTAGTTCATCAATTGTTTCTTTAATGGATTGTGCCTTTGGTGTTGTATCTAAAAAGCCACCGCCACACCCAAGGTTATTTAGGTTTTCTTTTATATTATTGTCTAGGAATTTTATGGTTGTGTATCTTATATTTAATTCTGATCTACTTTGAGTTAATTTTTGGTGAAGGTTGTAAGACCTGGTCTAGATCCATTTTTTGCATGTGAATATTCAGTTCTTCCAGAACCATTTGTTGAAAGACTTTGTTCTGTTGTGTTGCTTTTGTTATATTTATGTGTTGATCAGTTGGCTATATTTATATGGGACTACTTATGGGTTTTCTGTTCTGTTCAATTGATCTGTTTGTTTATCCTTTTGCCAATGCCATACTGTCTGGATAACTATGTAGTAAATCCTAAAGTTGGACATTTTCAGTTGTCCAGTTCTTTATCAGTATTGTGTTGGCTGTTCTGTGATTTTTGCTTCTTTATATAAACTTTAGTATTAGTTTGATGGTATCCACAAGATAACTTGATGGAATTTTGATTGGGATTGCACTGATTCCATAGGTGTAGGTGGGAAGAAGTGATGTATTGAATATATTGAGCCTTCCTGTCTGTGAACATGGAATTTATGTAGTTCTTTGATTTCATTCATTAGTTTTGTAATTTTTCATCTGTTCATCTTGTATATATTTTTTAGACTTATACCTAAATATTATATTTGGGGGCTTGCTATTGCAAATGGTTAGCATTTCAAATTCAAAT